GGGGAGGTTATGCGGGGCGGCGGTCAGGTACTGGTGGGGGGCAGGGAGGACACGTGTCTGGGGTTCCTTTCAAGCCATAGATATCCGTTATGAGTCTTTCTGGAGCGTTTTCTTGGAGACATCTGCCCCCCCCCTCGCGGTTTCGGACAGCCTCATCTGCCCTCAGCTCCCCCGGGGGCCCGGTCCTGGCTCGTACGTACGGCCCCTCCCGCTAGGTGACCTAGGGGGCCCAGGTTACCCACATACCCCGGGGGGTGGTAACGCGGGGACTCCGGAAGGCGGTGTAACACACATACACACATACACACATACATACACACTGTGGTCATGTTGCGTGTGAATTCGTACATGCCGGCATCCGTACATGGTTGCAGTACATATCAGGAGGGGGCCCTGATGGTAGGGTTTACTTAAAATTAAAAGATGACCTGAGGTTGGGGTTGGTCCGTGTGGGGTGTGCGTGTGTGTATGTGTGTGTGTGTATGTGTTGTGCGGGGGGCCAGGGGTCTATGAGCCGTACCATTCAAATGAGGTAAGGCGATGGAATTGTGCAGGCCGACAGACAGAGAGACAGACATATAAACAGGCTGGCGAAGAGGGGGAAGGGCTACAGGTGTCTCGTACTACAAGTACGACATAATGCTGGTCGCGACGGATTACATATCAAGGGGGAGGGCAGCGGGTTTTGGTCCGCGACTAGTGAAGTTCATAATATTTTGCGCGAAAAGAGGGGTGAGATAGATAGCCCGAAGAAAATATGCGTGTAAACATATCGTACATGTGTACGGCAGCCTGGATGTCTGTGCGAGTGACCAAGGGAACCGTGCCTCTCCCCCCCCCCGGTGTTCTTGTCGCACTCCGTACGAACTACGGCTGCAGACAGTACGGCGCGGGCCAACTATTGGAGTACTGAAGATACCTACCACTACATACGGCTACAGCCGGGTGATGTGGACGGCAACCAGCCGTACGACGTACTGCTAGTCGGAGGTGAGTTTCGCCGTACAGGGGAGGCAGGCACTCTAAAGGTTACCCCTCTTATCTCCTGCCGTTGTTCCCACGGCGCATCTCACCACATCGTGTGTCTGTATGTATGCGTGTATGTAAGCGTGTGTATGCGTGTATTTATGCCTGTATGACTTAGATTACACTGTGGGCCGCGAGAGCCGGGTGCCGAAGCCGAAACACAGCGCAAGGGTCGGGAGCACACAGTCCAAGTCGGTTAGTCTTGTGTGCTCCGATCCCGACTCTACGCAGCCACATGTATGTATGTATGGGCCGGGGGCCCAGAGCCGAAACACAGCGCGGGGGGCACACACAAGACGCACACGGCTGCTTAGGTTGGTGCATTCCGGCCCCCGGTGACACATCGTCAACGAAAAGTAGGTTGGTGAGTTCACCGCCCTAACCACTGGCTAACACTCTGCTCGCGGAGGATGTTCCTTCGGTCAGGAAGGCGTACACGGCAATCAGCATTGTGAGCATCAATCAGTGTAATGAGCGAACACCTCTATGAAGAGTCCAGAAAGGTTTACACGAAGATGACCTCCCGCGTACCCGCATCAATACCAATACAACGTCCATGGCCCCCCCGGATTTTACGGACACACCCGCACTTGTGTGCGGAACTTGTAACTTGTAACTAAGGGGACGCCCTTGCCACACACCACGCCCCACAGCGAATTCAGGTCCCAACCTATTCCCCAACTTAACTTAACCCGAGCCTTCACATCAGCGTGGCTAGCCTTCAGAGAATCAAGGATGCGCCCGGGTAGCCCATATGGCTCGAGGAGGAAGCCTCAAAGTGTCTCATGGTCAACGGAGTCGAACGCCTTACTAAAGTCAATTTGCATGATAATAAGCGGCCTGGCTCCGGCCACAGTGTGCTTTATGAGATAAGATGCCTTAATGTAAGCAAGTGATGCTCGGTGCCAAAGCCATGCCTACGCCCAACCTAGCGGCACGTAGCCTGTTGCCCTCACAGTAATTGGTGAGTCGCCTACCCCCAACTGTAACAATGCCCCAAAACTTATCACAGCAGGACGCATCCCCTTCATGAATACGGGTTTATAGTGCATGCAGTAAGCCTTAAGGATAAGTAACAAGTTCTGAATTGACAAAATCCGCGGTCGACAGGATTCGAACCTGTGCGGGAGATCCCATCTGATTTCGAGTCAGACCCCTTAACCACTCGGGCACGACCGCACATCTTGATGGCAAAGAAATCACACAAAATACTTCCCAAATTGGTGCGGTTGGTGCGGTTGCCCAGCACCATTCTGCGAGGTGCAGGTGTCCCAGGGCGCCCACAATCCGGCTGATATCCGTGGGTAGATCGCTTCCGCCGAGCCGGGGCCCGGCTTGGCTGGCGGTCGTCAGGACCCACGGTTGGAAGGCGGGGTGCATGAGCAGGAGGTGGGCGGAGAGTGTCCTAACCCAGAGGGGTGGAGCCCACCGTCAGCCCTCCCATGGCCTGCGGTAATATACCGTCCACGGTTCCTGCATGGCTGCAGTGCCACCTGCCCCCCGATCCACCTGACGCGTTTGACGGCCCGAGGTCGCGGCCATGTCAAACCGCACGGGCCCCCGCCCAGCGGATGGAGTTTGACCATGAGCTTGGCCGGGTGTTTGCGACCCATTTCCATGACTCCGGACCGGACACGAATAATAGCCTCTCCTTCGGTAACATCAGGACGTTAAGATTAAGACGAGTTAATTCCCGAACTCGTTCTCGTTCTCGTTCTCGTTTTTCTTGGTGGTTTGCGGCCTTGAGGCCGCGGCTGTCCTCCGACCAGTTTGAATTATCGGTCGGTCAGCGGTCCTCGCCACTCTAGTTTGCGACATTTGTTGTGTCGAACTTAATATGACATTTCGAAGTTGTAATCAAAATAGCCCGTCATTGATTTTGGACCGTGTTAGCGCTCTAGGGTTGAGGGCTCCAGTCGTGTTGTGCGGCTAGGTTACGCCCATTTTCATACTACATATGGATATGTATGTACGTATGTACGTATGTACGTGCGTTACATGCGTAAAAGCAGCCTCGGGAAGGGGGAGGCGGCCGTACCACCACCGCAGTGTCACACTGCGTTTCGATGGCCGTCCCGAGAGCCCGCGGCCCATTCCTCCTCCCCCCTTTCCCCCCTTACCCCCCTTTCCCCCCTTTCCCCCCCCCGCCGCCGCTCCCCAGGTGAGGACCACCAGACCGGGCAGTACCCGGGGAAGTACTCGGACAGCTGGGAGGCCCTGGAGGACTTCACTCGGGCGATGTGGCCGCAGGCGGGGGAGGTCGTGTACAGGTGGAGCGGCCAGGTAGGTGTCAGGGATTTAGGTGAGGGTTTCAGGTTTTTAAGTGAGTTTAGATTCGTTAGGTCTCGAGGTGGTTGGACATTGGTAAGAGGTGGTTGGACATTGGTTGGGTTTTGATGGGTGGGGTTGGGGCGGTAGGAGGACTGGGTGAAGAGGCAGCGCTGGCGCTGCCTTAATTGCAGGCAGGCCAGGGCCGCCGGTCGTGATGGCTGGTAGATGTGCGTATGTATGTATATCGGCCTGGCAATTGGTGATGTCGCGTTGGGAGCCCCATCTTTACGCCTCGCATGCAGGTGTACGAGCCCATCGACTTGCTCGGCCTGTACGGCCTGGATCCACTGAATCCGATCAACGCGGTCAGCCACATCAAGCGTTACATCGCCACTGGTGAGAACCGTCGCCCCTCGCCCCTCGCCATAACATAATATACTGATATTGAAAAATAATAACGGTAATGAGCATAATAAATAAAATAGCATTCCTGCCGCGCAGGTGATAGCGGTCAGGGTATGACGGGCAGCGCCATCGCCGCCCTCATCCTGGCCGACCTCATCTCGGGTCGCCAACACCCCTGGGCTGACTTATACAGCCCCTCGCGCATCACCCCAGCACTGAATGTCTCCAGCCTGGAGGTACGACACGTACGGCAGGGTTGTTGCACGACGAAGGGAATGCCGTAACCCATGAAGGAATTAATTGCGTCCTGAGGGAAAAAGGGGAAGAGGTGGAGAAGAGGTGGAGGAGAGGTGGAGAAGGGTTGCAGAACTCGTCGAGCCTCCTGCTCAACAAGTCGATAGCACACTGTGTATCTGTGCCGTACAAAGGCCTCTCGGGGATTCCCCCACGTATGATGCGAGGGGGTCGTGGGATCCGCGCGCGCCGCATACCGCCCCTATCACCTATAGAGGTCTCAGCCAGTTCAGTCAGACGTCAGCCAGGGAAACGAGCTTTCTGCACGCGCTGCAGAATGCGTCACCTCCCTCGTTCTCCCCCTCCCACGCCACCCGCCCCACCCCCCACCCCTTTCTCCTACCTCAGGAGCTGGGCAGTGAGGCCGCTGCCACTGTACGAGGTCTGACGGACACGGTGCTGCCCCGCAGCGCTCTGGGCCTGATGGGGCACACGCAGGCAGAGCACCTCAAGCCGGGTGGGAGTGGAGGGATGGAGAGGGTTGGGGGGGTAGGGGGGAAAAGCCGGGTCGCGGGGTTCGGCAAGGAATCGCCGATAAAGTGACGACTGTTACATTAGGGCCCGGTATGCGGTCACTAGAGAGGCACAGCACGGGTTCCCTCCACCCCCCTCCACCCCCCTCCACCCCCCCGCCCACAAACACCCCCCCACGTCCCTCGGCCGCCTCCAGGTGAGGGTGCGGTGGTCCAGGAGGGGCTTACGAAGGTGGCCGCATACCGCTCCCGGGAGGGCCGCCTAATTAAGCACTCCGCCATCTGCCCGCATATGGGCTGTCTGCTGGAGTGGAATCCCAACGATGCCACCTTTGACTGCGTGTGCCACGGCTCGCAGGTGCGTGTGTGTGCGTGTGTGTGCGTGTGTGTGTGTATGTGTGTGTATGTGGAGGGGGGGGAGGAGGGGGCGGTGGGCGTGGCTTCCCGAGTGCATGGAGGAAATTAGGAAGACGCGGACGACGAGGAATACAAATCATAACAATCAGCTTCCATCGGTACAGCTGGTGGGGTATCGAAATGAGCTCAGGAGCTGTGGGGTTGGGAAGAAGATAACGCGCGGTGGGTGAGACGGTCTTCATGGAGGTTGAGAGGTAGCCCCAACTTCCAACAACCAGCCAGCTACCAACCTCCAACGTTCAACTTCCAATCACCAGCCACCAACTACCCCTTTTCCCTTCCGTCCTTACAATGCCCTCTTCCCGCTTCGCCATACCGCCATGTCGTATCCACTCCTCTTCCTTTTCTACGCTTCTAATCCCCCGCTCTTTCCGCAGTTCGACAGTTGCGGCAACTGTATCAACGGTCCCGCCAACAACAACCTCAAGGAGCTGTTTTGAAGGTCTGTGAGGAGGAGGACGAACAGGAGGAAGGGGAGCTATATGGGAGATGAGGAGGAGCTCCCCGGGGGCGGGGCAGGGGAGAGGAAAGAGGGCGGTACGGAAAGGAGCGAAATGGAAGGCTCAGATACGCACCAAGGAAACGCCGGGGGCAGGAGGCCGGAAGGGAGAGGAGGAGCGCCCCCAGGTGGCGGGGAATTTTGAGGGAGCGCGTGTGTTCGTGCGTGTGTGTGTGTGTGTGTATATGTTAAAAGGGGGAGAAAGAGAGGTTAAAAGGTTGTAGTTGGCAGGTAGCTTGGAGCAGGCGGAGGCCAATGGCGGCTTCGTTGACGCACTGTACGGCGGAAGATATCGGAGAGATCCAACTCGTTGGGACAGCTGTTGGTGACTTTGGTTGGCAACGGCGGGGAGGGAGGGAGGGACGAACTTATGGCGGGAACATATTTGCTCGATGTGGATTTTCAACGCGCCAGTAGCAGTAACTGGATCTGTATTTGTATTTGTATTTGTATTTGAAATCGAATTTGTCAGGATCCACCCGGGCAGTAGCCCTGTACGTTTATCTTTGGGCTGATGAGCTTGCGGGCCCGTACAACCGAAATCTCAACAACGCGATGCAAGTAATGAAATCGGGTCCACGATCTGCTGCATATCGTTGCTTTTAAAGAAAAGAAGAGAGTTGCATGATGAGTTGCACTTTTGATTGTATTACTCGCTGCTGGATACGAGTTTGTTTAATTTCCATGTATGTGCGTATGTATGTACGTATCATTGGGCAGCAATTTTCATTCCACAGTGTCGTAACCGCAAAAAAGATTGCATACGTTGTGCTGCAGCTCCAGTTTTGCAGAGACCTGCGTTAAATAGGGCCTCGGGGGTCCGACAGCGACAGCGACAGCGGGGGTGCGGGGTTGGAGAGAGCTGAGCTGGGCAGCCCCTATAATGGTTAAGAACATCCTAAGCATATGGCTACGTATGCTCGAGGCAAAGAACCATGAAGAAGAGCCCAAGAACATACAGATAAGCCCAGCAGCCAAAGAATCCTTGAGAATGCATGTAAGACTTCTGAAGGGCCCCAAAACGAGCTAAAGAAAGATATTAAGAACGGTTTTAGGCCCATACAAATCGGAAGTCATCAGGACGTTTTAAGGAATTTTATTCTCAGAAGACTGGTTATTCGATTGTTTCGATTATTATTATGGGCAGTATTAGTCTGCAGCAGCACCACGTCGGGCTATGCGAGCTCGCTTCGCTCCGAAGGTGTTTGTGCAGCACGGTAAGGCACGGCCATGCCCTTGCGGTCCTCAGGCTGATGGGGCCAGCGAGCCATGGACCCGACACCAACGAGTCAGTAGTAGAATTTCACGCGGCAATACTGTTTGTGTGACACACGTGAAGCTGTATCCGAAACATATCCTATTTTTTGTAAATAGCTGAACAAAAGTATGTACACGGGCTAAGTACGAACGTGACCTCGCGTTTCAAGGGCGCAACATGCGCACGATTATGACCGAGGCCCCACCCCTGGCACTAGCCAGGTTCCTCTCGGAAGTCTGGGAGACCCGGCACGTTGCTCTAAGGCGCTTCGTGCTCAAGCGGACGAGGGATGACGATGATGGTCCACCACGTAACCGCACTAAAAACCCTAAGGTTTCTTCACTCAAGGTGCTGTTCACGGATGACCGGCCCTATTTTGACCACAGGCCGCGTCATAGAACTGCAAGAATACGGCCCGCCTACAGGCCCGAATGCACTGCAATTTCACAATATTATATTAAAACCTTCCAAAACCATGCTAACAGATTTCCAAAATACTACACCACCAAACAGGGCCGGTCATCCGTGAACAGCCTGTCAACAGCCGTTTTCTCTTTGTGCATCTAGGCACATACAGCTGCTGCTGACTATTGTTTGCCAAGCTAAAAGTCTTTAGCGCATTGTCAAGCTCAAACCCTGATAATCAAGGCATATATATTGTTGGTGCAAGAAATCCCAAGAAAGGAGGTGCGGCTGACCCGGCCGGCCCTAAGGAAAATTTACGAATATTTACGACCAGCCAATGGAAAGACCCTCATAACGTGGATGGCCGGGCTGGGGTGCCGACAAGTCGCGATCCGACGCGAAGTTGTTAGGCCCCAAACTTTGCCTCCAAACTTTGATATCTTGCGAGCTAAATCCACAAAGCGCCCCGCCAGTCGAGCTTGCAGCCGCGCCCAGCTTATACTGACCTCGGAAGATGACGAGCAGCGGCGGCAGCTGCAGCGGCAACAAATGGTCTTGCTTGGGCTTGACGACAAGAAATTTCTCGACAGCGAGCTTGACAACCTTGCAAAGGAGGGCTATCTCGACCGTGATGACTTTGCGAGCGCCTCTTCTGAGGGCCTCCAAAAAGCTGGGCTAAGGTCGGCGCGAGTCGACCAGATCCTCAAAGCGCAAGGTGTGTGCATGCGCGGTTGTACCACTTAAGAGGCGAATTGCGCGCAGTGCTGCAGCGCCGCGATGCTCAGAGCTCCGACGTTAGGATCGCGAGTCTCCGCGCTCGCTTGATGGCGCGGCCTCCTTCCGCTTCGTGCCTCCTACACGAGCTCGCTTCCTTTCCCCACACCTCGTACCCTACTCTCGGCCGTCCTATCTTTGGCACCTTGCGCTTCGTATATGCGACAACTTGGATTACTTCGTGTTCCTGAGCCTTGCAAAGTTGACATGTGCCTTCAGACCCTTTGTGTGTGCCTTGGTACCTGTTCTGTCGACGCCATGCTGTGTCGTGTTTGCGTACCTCTCGTCTCCCGTTGTTCAGTTCGTTGGCCCCAAGCCGCCCCCCATGACCACATTTCTCATCTGGCTTGACGCGTGCCCTCTATTTCTTCCACCGCATGAACTGAAACTGCACGTGGTGCAAACTGTCGAGGCACACCTGCGTCTTCTGCTGGCCTGCCGTCTTAGGCGCCCCAACACGCCCAGCACTAGCAGTTGTAGTGCACCTGCTCACACCCACCCCCGCTTGCGTTTCGCTGTTAGGTATTGGCTGGGCTGTAGGGCTTCCTGTGCCCGTCGTCGCATACACGTGTGACACATACAAAAGCAGCGAACAATTGTGGTTGATAGCAGAGGCCTACTGCTGGGTCGTCTGCAGAGGCCGTCTGTACACCCCCGCATATGTGGACACGCAGAATCCGGCCGACTGAAACCTGTGCTCTCTCACGGCGTGCGTACTGCATGTGCACTGCGCGCAGCTTGTGGCAACAACGATGATTTGCGAACGTGTTGTTGGAGGGGCCGTCAGCCGCCCTTGCCCCACCGTGCCGCACTCTCCCGCACCTGCGGTACTGTGTGCGCCCACCACCCGTGTCACTACACTGATGTCTCTACGCAATTCACTATGCGCATAGCCATGACCACGCATTCGCTGCGTCCCTGTCTACACTCCCTGTGATTGCAGGCGCGGCTGGTCACGGTGGAGGGGCGGCCGGCAGTGAGTCGGTGGTTTTGAATGGGTAGTTGCAACATGATGTGTCTCTGAAAAGCGGCCTATGCTGTAACCCTCGTGCAGTGACTGACTGACTGTGTAAGCAATTGGTCGGACCCCGACTGCACATGACTGCACTTGACAGCCCGGGTCATGCCACGGGAGAAACTGAGCCCTCGGGGCCCTCGCCCTCCATGGGTCCGACCCTCTTCAATTTGTTTCACGAACCTCTGTCTGGGTTGCGTTGCAAACGAGCGCATCTGGGGGCGGGGGACGCAGCGGGTGCGGGGCAAGGGCTGTGCGAGGCGCGAGCTGCGCTCACGCAGCTTGTAGCAAAAACCAACGTGGGAAAACAAATATCTCGCACCACACCAGGAGTATGCGGGAGGAGGTGCGAACAAACTCGCTCATATCGCACGCCAACATGGTTTATGATGAGGGTTGGAACAAGCTCCCAAGAAGCGCAGCAAGCTGTTGCGTGTGTGCGCGTGTGCGTTGGCCCATGCGTTGGCTCAGCCATAGATAGTGCGCGGCTCCTGCTGATCTGCGGGGCTTTGCTCCGCACTCGACTGGGTCCGCATCTCCACTGGACGCATGCGAACAAAACTGAGGGCGGTCAATTGCCAATGTTTTGACCCTGTGTTCTTCAGTCAACCGCCAACTCAGAACCTGCGTCCGGAGTCCATTGCTAATGCAAGACCACCGCAGGACCACTGCCAAAGTGGGGAGAACTGAGGAGAGCTCAGGGTAAACTGAGACACGCAGCTAAGCCGAGCACATCATGGATACTTGAGTGTTGCCACCTAGTTTGAAAAGGATGGATGATAAATTTTTGTCCGCGTGCATCTCTTGTTGCTGTTTGGGTCAGCAAGGGCACGAATGACCCATCATGTGGCTCTACCCACTGAGCTAACCCTCCCCTTGTAAACGGCGTGCTGCTGTGCCCGTCCTGCCATTTGCCGCCGACACACAGGCACGGGCCAGGGAGGCCGCCGCTGCGCCGCCGAAGGTGAGACGATCCTCTCCATTAGCGTGTGTGGGTTGCGTGTGGGATGCAAACTCGCACGCTGCTGTAGATACGGGGCACGGATTGTGAGCTATTGGCAACTTACACACCCACACGCGTTGCTTTCGCTATATGATATGCCATGCCCAATCCGCGCCATACCAGGCAGTCTTCCCGGCCCCGCCAGGGCTTTGCGTGTAAGCGCCGTTCCTGCCCCAGACCCGCACCATGTCATACCTCATACCACTACACGAGCAACTGTGAACCACGCAAACAGCCCGTCGTGCTCCACCAGCTTGTTGCAGCCCGTCCAGGCAGCGACACACAGCCCCAGCCCATAACCACCATCACGTGCGCCTTTCTAGATTCACCGCCTCTTTCTCATCTCCCCATGCTGCCCGCCTCCCCCGGCGCACTCTTTTTTCTTCTGCCCCGCGCTACTGCATAGCTGTCGCAACACTTGCACACTGCACGCTACTACGCTGTGTCTTGCCGGCATGGACGAGAGCTCGTCAAGCGCTTTGTGCCCCACTCTTACCACAGGCACGATTGCCACATTCTGGGCTACGCTGCCACATGCGGCTGTGAGGGGGGAGCCTGGCCGCGAGGTGCTGACACTTGCTGGTGGTGCACGGTTTCCTTGGCCACGATGGGCGCACGTGGATCGCCTGCTGCGCCGCAGCTGCTACGAGGTGGCCTACAATGAGATGATGGCTTTGCAGGAGGGCCCTCCGGACAGTGCCCTGAGGCGCTTTCTGATCCTCGGGACGCCAGGTGAATAACAACAAATACCGCGACACTGGTGCTGTTTTTGTATATGATTAATCCTGACGGGTCAGAAAACTGTTAGAAAACTGTTAGTAAGTTCCGATCCGCTCAGGAAGGAACTTAGCGGTACGTGACTTTTGAAGGAAGTCAAGTGCGCCGGGAAAACCTTTCGAAGACAGTCAAAATAAATAAATAAATAAATAAATAAATAAATAAATAAAATTTATAGCACGCCTGGAAAGGCAGGAGACGGTGGTGGAGGGCGAGCGCGGGCGGGCGGGGGCTCGCCTTGAACGCCCGCATGTGGATGCACTCCCTCCCTGTGTTGGCCTCCATGAGTCGCGATGTGTTTGCCAACCATTACGGTGCAATGTTTGTGGTGTGAATTGGTCGTCGTGTTTGGTTGCTTGAAGTGAAGTCCGTGCCTATAGGGTGCTATTTTAATGATGGTGAAGAGGATACCCTAAGTGCCCACCCCATCCATGGATCCAAGGCGTTCCGTTCCTCGTTGTACCCAATTGTATTTCCCGCTGTGTATTTCCCAACGACTTGACAGGCATCGGCAAGAGCGCCTTCCTGCTGGACATGCTCTACCGCCTAGCCTGCCTGGGGCGGACGGTCGTGTTTGTTCATGGGGCCACCAGCAAGCAGGCGCTCCTGTTCACACCCAATGGCGTGTTCACTGCGGACGACGCCACCGTCTTCCATGCCGAGCTGTCGGATCCAAATACCTGGTGCGCCCTCTGCCCATACTTGTGTGGCGATGCTGAGCAAGTATAGAGCGGTTTTGTGGTTCTGCAGCATATTTCTTGCAAGATGTTGTGCAAGATGTTGTGCAAGATGTTGTGCAAGATGTTGTGCAAGATGGCTCCTGCATTGACTGCATCTGGACTCGGCAATTCCATGTTCAACAGCCCTCGACCGTTTTGTACCCAATCCCGCAGGTTCCTCTGTGACGCCTTCGGCTACAAGTCGGTAGTGGGTGCCGTGACCGTGCTGGTCTCGTCGCCTCGCATTGACGCGTATAAGGTGGGTCTTGCAAGCTGGGATATGGGGGGAGGGCGCGACTGGATGCATGTGTGATGGATTATCGTGCTCATCCCCCACATCATGAGGTGATCGTGATGGGCCGGCTATCCTCGTCTTTGGATGTATATCAAGACCTGGCTATCCCTCCCTTAACACACGAGTGTGTCTTGCACGGTGTAACTAATAGTATTATAAATATTCCTGCCGCTGCGTACCGTGTTGCACCGTGCCGAGTCGGGACTGGCAGCAACAAGCAGCAGCCTGCAAACGCGCAGCCACCAGTGTTTATTTTTTTGGTAATATATTACTTTTTTGGGAATAAATGGGGGTCTGAGCCTGGAAGAAATGGAATAATTGGTCAGTTGGCCGTACTGGTTCATTACTTCGGCCATAAGTCGCCCCAAACGCCTTCTGCACATATAAAGCTGAACATTTGGAGCTTATGCACTATCTATGTATAAAATATTTGATGATATCACCATGAGACGGCCCGCTGTTGCATTCAACCTAGGTCAACGGGGCATTCGTTCATTCTTGACCAAAGCAAACGGCTCAGAAAGTCCGCAGATGCAATGCCCCAAACATTTAGAAGAAGAATTAGATAATACAGAAGACAAGGATAGGCATGCCGTAGTTGCCGCTCTTGAAGTCAGTGAAGCCAGCGATTTGAGCGAAGCTGAGGATCCCCCGGCGAAGCGGCAACACACAACTGTAGCAATCAGCGACTCAGCTGAGCAGCTTGATTCTGACGAGGAAGGGCCACCGCCCCAAGATGTCGCCACGGCACCACCGCCACCTTCAAGGGCTGGTGCTTCGCAGCACGCACCGCTGGTGATTCAAAAGCAGGCGCGGCGCCAGCAAACACAGCGTGTGCCGAAAGGCCAAAGCGATGGGAGCTGGCGGGAGAATGAGGGAGTGCGTCGCTTCCAGGCGCACTGGACAGCTTTGTTCGAATGGGCTGAGTGTGTTGCGCCTGATATGGAGGCTGGCGAGGTGCACGACCGTGTCCGGTGCGGTCCCTGCTCCCTCAGCCGGCAGCGGGACATCACGATGGATGCCAGGCAGGCCACACTAAAAAGCCACGAGCTTTGCGAGTGTTGTTTACAGCACACCGTACAGCCTTTGAGGGGGGGGGCGCAGCCCCCCCCAGCGACTATACAAAAAGGAATTGTAACCGCAAGAAACACCCAGTTTATTACTCTAGGGTATTAGGCCCCAAACGAAAAAAAAAACACTGCCAGCCACCAGCAGCAACCGCGCCCCTCCTGCTTGCTCCCGCCCAGCCATGACCAACCGCCTGTCGGTGCCGCTCAGGAGTTTGCCAAGACGCCCCATGCCGAGCTGTGGATGGGTCCTTGGAGCCTTGATGAGCTGGAAGCTGCTCGTCCCCCAAGCCTGGATGCGGTGGAAATGAAGGAGGCGTATACCAATTGGGGCGGCATTCCGCGCTACGTCCTGGAGAACGCGAAGGTGCGCGAAGGTGTTGCGGTGGAGGCCGAACTGGGGAAATGACGTTGGGGGGGCTGGGGCTGCAACGCTGCGACGCTGTCGGCACTGCGCTGAAAAGTATTATCACTATTCTTATTGCGACAGCGGGAAAATATGTTGTTCACCGACTATGCAAGCTGTACGGCTGCAGTGGTGCGCGGCACTGCAGCACTGTACGGCGCTGTACGGTGCTGCACGGCACTGCGCAGCTCTGTGGCGCTGCATGGCTGCACGGGTCTGTGATGTGCTACTTAACCCTTAATTTGGATGGCATCCAGAGACGCCTTTTGGATGAGAATCAGGATATGTAGGCCGCCCACCAGAGGCTGCCCTACACCTCATGTGTCAGAGGCATGAATGAGAATACCACCAGTAAATTCCAAAAGACGTTCACAGAAGAACCAGAATTGCCAGTGTCCAGGTGTCACAACTGACCACACTTAAGGTCAGTCCAGAACCTTGCAAGTTAGATTACCAGGTGTAATCACGGTAAACATGTAAGTCAGGTTACATGTCGGAAACGCGCTGGCTGACCCACGGTTCGGGTCCCTCGACAAGTCCCAGGCATGATACAACAGTCTGCGTTGCTGCACAGCTCTTGAGATCTGGGCAGCTGCATGGCTCTGCAGTAATGAGCGGCTGCACGGGACTGCGGAATTGCAGCACTGCACGCTCTGTGGTGCTGCAAGGTATATGCATCGCTGCGCGGCGCTGTGATGCTGTGCAGCGCTGTGGCGCTGCGCGGCTGCTCAGCGCTGCGGGTGCTGTGGCGCTGCATGGCTCTGTGGTGTTGACCACCTGCATGGCTCTGCGGCGCTGCACGGCACGGAGCAGCTTTGCGGTGCTGTGTGACTCCATGGCTATGTGCGGCACTGCAGCACTGCATGGTTGCACAGTGCCGCATGGTTCAGCACCGGTGCGCAGCTTCTGCTGCGATGCACGGCGCTGTGCGGCGGTCTGTGGGGTCAGTGGCACTGCCTGGTTGTGCGGCTATGCGGCGTTGAGCTGCTGCACGGCTCAGCGGTGCACTGTGCAGTTCTGAGGTGCTGCACGGCTCCACGGCTCTGCGGCACGGCTGTGCGGCACTGCAATGATGTGTGGTTGAGTGGCTGTGGCTGAGGTAAGGCAGGTGCAGCTGGGGCTGCGGTTGTGGAGGGGCCTGGGGCTGAGGATATGCTACACGCCGCTGTCCTGGCCCCCCGCCTGCAGGTGAAGTCCGTCCAGCGAAGGCTGAAGGACACAGTCAGCTCCTGCAACCCCGAGGAGGTTCTGCGGTGGGCCGCACAGGGGATGGAGGCCGCACCCATCGTCAGCCACACGCTGCTGCATGTGAAGGTATGGAGAGGCAAATTTGTTGGGTTGTACTGCACTGATAACCATACCTACATAAACTTAGATTGTTGCACGCAACAACCATTTAGGTGGGGGGGACTGCACGCTGGCGCCTCCAAGGCAATGGCCTCTGATTTTGCCTTTTGACTTTTGCGGGATCCCCGCTCCTGGTGCACTACGGCAGGTGGATGGCAAGTGCCAGAAGGTGGCCGTCGATTTCGGCTCGGAGGTGATCGCTGAGACAGTTCTCAAGAAGCTTCAGGTAAGGGCCGTGCGGGGCAGTTCATCGTGTGGGTGGTGCAGGCTGCACGCGTTTCCTTCGCATTGAGCGCATCACGAACATTTCCAGCGATAGTCTTACTGCGAGTGTTGGAAGACCTGACGGCTGGGGGCCTGCAATAGTGGAAATGTGTGCCTTCTTTTATGTTGGGCGGGGTGAGGGAATCTGCCGGCGCGGCACTCAAGAGCTGCTCGAAGGCGATAGCGGTGTATCAAAAAAAACTCGCGAAAATAGTCGTCGTCATGCATGGCATGACCTGCTGCATGCACAGTCCCCACCGCCCCCCTGGCTTCAGGCTGAGGGGACAGAGGCCATACGGAAGTGGGTGGAGAGGGCGGCAAGTGATCCGTCCTTGGCGACGCTGCGGGGTCGCGTTTTTAAGGCATCCTGCCACGTTCGCCTGTCCGAGGGCGGCACGTTCCGAGTGCGGAAGCTCTCCGGCGAAGAGCCAACCAGCCCGGCGGAGAGCCTGACGCTGCCGCCTACTATGCGCCTGGACGTCCGGGACCTGGCTGCGGCGTCGCCTGGCTCCCTCCTCATCCAGCAGCAGCAGAACTTTGCCGCCATTGACAGCGTGCTGGTCCGGCCTGCGGCTGCTGGTGGCGCGGCACCCCAGCCGCCGCAGGTCATGCTCATCCAGGTCACCGTCGCCAGCTCCCACCGCATCAACATAAACGGCCTCTCCACCGCGGTTGACCAGCTGCCAGAGTCAGTTAAGAAGATGACCAAAGCGCTCTTCTTCGCCGTGCCGCCTGACATCTTTGCGTCATTTCCTGCGCAGCAGTTTGAAGGCTCGGGGGAGTTGCCTAAGCCGCTGCTCAAGATCCAACAGTACGCCCTGGAGGTGCCCATGAAAGGCCGCATGGCGGTGGTGGGGGCCGGCGCCGACGCCGACGTGGCAGCTGGCGAGGAGGGAATGGAGCAGCCAGCGGCGCCGTGCAGCAGCAAGAGGCGGCACGGCGTGGAGTCTCCGGCTGCTGAGCCAGAGGCTGCGGTGGGCAAGGAGGGCAGCGCGGTGAAGGGGACGGTGGCGGAGCACGGGCCCAGCTGTAACTTGAGGCAGCGCGGCAGAAAGCCCGAAGTCACTGCGGGCAAGGAGGGCAGAAAGGCCCAGTCCGTGGTGGCGGGGCGGCAGCAGCCAGCGCCCGCAGAGCATGACGGAGGCTGCGGGGAGGCTGCAGGCAAGGCGAAGGCCAAGGACAAGGACAAGGGCAGGGCCAAGGTGTGTACCGCCTGGGGTTGGCGCACTAGTGTCCTCGGTTGTCGTTTCTTGCCATTCCTTCGCATTGTGTCTCGGGATGCCGCCTTTTGGAGTGGGTGTTCATTTGTTTGTTTTTGTTGTGAGGGGGCTGCGTGCCAGTGTAGCACCTTGCTCGTCGCTGACTTGCTGTTACCATGCAGTACCATGATGCTTTTGCGATAGCAAAGCTGTTAGTATGGTAGGCATCGGGCTCTGCACGCGGAACGGGTGCTTTGCATTGTACGGCACGCCGTAGTCCTCCATCATGGCGCCGGAGGCGTGACGTTGGATGGTTCTCAATAGCTCCGAAGCATGTTAACCGTCCTTCTCAATTTCATCCCTACGATGCTGACCGACCAGTACTGCCGCTGCCCAACTCGTTATGTTCTTTCACCCGACAGGCCGCCAAGCATTAGGAGCGGCTGCTGTCGCCGGCGGAGGCGGCGGAGGCGATGGCCGGCGCGGCGCTGTGCAGCAACCCTTGCTGCGCCAGCCTGGTGGGGGCCGCGCTGGGAGCCGCGTGCCGCTGCCGGTGGAGGGGGCGGTGGCAACAGTGGCTATGGCCGGCGCGGCGCTGTGCAGCACCGTCTCCTGGGCGTGCACACGACTGGCACCGCGTCATTTGTTCCAGATGCTCACTGAACGGTGCAATTCGTTGGTAGTTGAGCGTTTGTAGTGCACACCTCGGCACGTCCTGGGGCCGTTCCCAGAACGATCGACTCCAGACCGACAAAATGACTTCAAAGACACACATATATTGCTTAAATGCTGGCCGAGTCTGTTTTCCTCTTGGTGCTTCATCTCACTGCGAAATCGGCTTGCTTTATATCAGAGCGCCAGCTTCCTATGTTTTACTTCTATATTTTTGAGGGCTTCACATTTCAGAACTGCCCTGCTCGGGGGCGGAACCTGTCCCACTGTACGGCTCAGCAGCCGTACGGCTATCCTGGGGCTCAACACCGCGGAGTGTGGGGCTGGAAACAGCGGGCCATGACGCTCCGGAGAGTGAACTGCGTGGGCCACCACTGCGTGGGCCTTGTAGCTCAAGACCCAGACAGACGGAACTCTAAATCACGGAGTGTAGAATTCAGCAACCCACATTCGTTGTTCGCTGGTACATGAGCATATGGAGGCTACGGATGCCAGAACCCCTACATGCTAAATGCCGTGCATCCAATCCAAACGATAGCCACCTCTTTCTTCTGGTATAGAGCCGTGGGCTCCCTTACTTATGTAATGTCCGTACATAATTTAATTTTTGGATTTGCTTGCTCCCTCGTTCATTGGGCTTGCAGTTGCCGATCGAGGCATGGAGGAGTGTGGCGCTGATTAGTTGACGCCTCCGCAGGTTGCCCTAAGTTGCCGTGCGGTACGGTGGCCGAGTGGTCTAAGGCGTAGGATTAAGGCTCACATCCGCAAGGGCGTAGGCTCATATCCTGCCCGTATCAGAACCGGGACGACGCCAGTTCTTGTTGGAGTCGTAGTTGCCTTGTCGGTTTCAGACGCCGTCCATCGGCTTGGGGGTGCATTGACTCCATAAACATGTAAAAGCTTTTAAAGCCCCGTGCTTGGTTGGGCTCGATCCTTAAAACTTCAAGGAACGCGGCAGAGCACATTCGCTGTGTGTGGAGCTGTATCTTCATATTTGTGCACGTATCATGTAGCCACCTTGAGGTCCAGGGTAAACCGGATATAGCTAGCTACCTAGATGGTCTACCATATAGACCATAACATAAACGTACGCAGCTAGCGCAAATCATGAGAGGCTGGTCGCCCCACAATACCCAAATGACTTCCCCTCGGACTTCCCCCAGCAGGCATTAAGATATAGCTTAGTACAAGACGCACTAGATGGGGATGCCATTGGAGAAAGCAGCGGTGACAAGTTGGCTGCTGACGTGTCGTAGCTGTACACAGTACGGCACACACATCACTACAAATACGCGTTAAGCAAGGCGTTCCGCCGGCATCATCTTGAAGAGACGACCGACCAGCGCACGCGCTCAACTTCCAAAGGGAATCAATCAGTCACGCACACGGGGGCCATGCACGGGTAGCTTGGGCATGTACGCGACAGCCTATCGATTTTTCCCTACATGTCTGTACCTCTCCGGCCTGCAGAATATGGGAAGATAGATAGACAGCATCCATCCACCTATAATAGCACAGGTAGAGCTGGGTAGAGGGCTCGGAGACCAATTCACATCGTACGCACCATCCTACATTTCATCGTCTTTCAAATAATCCTGGGCCCAACACCAAAATAAAACATTACCAAGACAAACAAACAAACAAACAGGCGAACATACGAGCAAGTAAGCCGCACAAGCAGAAGAGCTGCGCACTGCCCTGCGTAAAAAATAGGTAAGCAGGGCATGGAGCGCACGCGATCACCAAAAATGCGGGTTCACTACAATATACACAGACAATATAGGAATACGCATGTGTCGGATTACTTTTTAATCCGACCCGGGCCCTCGGCAGCCCTCCCAAACCTCCCGGAATAAGACAAGGCCGAAGAGATGGCCAATCAATGATAATGATGATAGTTGCATCACAAGTAACCTGTCACGCATCCGATCCAGCTTAGCAGCGCCACGAACAGCACCAGCAGCACCAGACGAGAGAGACGAGGGAGAGAGGGAGACGTCCACACGCGAAAACTAGTTTTCTCAATTCACGCCCACGCCACACCTGCTTCACCTCGCAAACACCGTACCGCTCTTTTCTCAAAGCACCCACATCCAAAATTATTAAACCTTAGCCACTCCGGAATCAAGATTGGCGCAGCAAAATTAAACACACAAAAAACAGCCGAAAACCCGGAGCCGCCACTGCAGCAACAGCAAACACGATACAAAGGCCCATCCTTTCATTCATCCATCTTTGCCGTTGTGTGTCATCCACCTTCACCCTCACTCACCTTTCCCCCCCAAGGCAATCCCCCCCAGGGCGCGGGGCCCGAGCGGGCCCGAATTCGGGCAAAAAACCGAATATGGCATTACACCACTCCACAGCACCACCTCCACATTCGGCGCCAACTTCTTCTTAAGGAGGAGAAATGGACTCCGTGTGGCTCTTAAAACCCTAAAACCCCACAGCTCCCGCAACCCAAATAACGCAATCCAAAACCCAAATCCAAAACCGCAAAACCCGCATCATCTACGTCAGTCGCTAAACGCGACGCCGTCCCAGCGCGGCTTCCGCATCACCACTACCCTCCCCCTCCTCCTCGTCCTCGTCCTCCCCGGCCGGTCGACCACCCTTTAACAGCGCCCGACTGGAAGCCATCCGTCCGGCGCTGCCGCTGCTGCCACTGCCCCCGGGGGAGGGGGAACCACCAAAACCCTCCGGCGTCGATGCTTTGGATGCTGGGGGAACTTGGTGGTACAACACTAGTAAAGCTAGTACGACTAGCAGAGGGAGCACGACAGCGGGAAGGCGTACGGCGGGGCCGAACAGATCCTTGCCTGCGGAGGAAAGGAGTTGGGAGAGCAGGGAGGGTTTAAAAACCCTTAAAACCCCCTAAAACCCCGACCCTTCTCCCCAAGCCCCTCAGATCCCCATAACCGCCCCCCACGGAAAACACACCCACGTGTGAGTGTCTTCATCTGCATGAAGGTGACCTTCTCTTGCAGCCCGGTCGCCACCGCCCCAAGCGCCGCCAGCCAGGCGGCCGCACCCCAGAAGCGGTGGAGGGGCCCCAGAGCCATTCGGTGCGACAGGCCCAGTCGGGGCCAAACGTACGAGTACAGACCCACAAGGACCTGACGTGGGGCCGGTACGGGTCACATGTACGACATACAACATATGATGCCTTTATGCACAAAGTGTCAATAGGAAGTTGTTGTTGTTGTGGTGGTGGTGGTTACAGCGGGCTGCAGATCCGTGCAGAGTGAGGAAAACATTGTCAAAGGAATAAAAGAAAAGGAAATACGGATGAGACGAGTTTGTGTTCGGGTAATGTGTGTATGTATGTGCGTCGGGTGTGTTAAAAGGAAGGAAAAGGGAGGGAAAGTCCAAGGACACGGAATGGGTTAGGGTGGAGATGGGGCAGGGAGGGGGAAGGCGGAGGGTGTAAAAGGAGCGCAGTGCGCCCATCGCGCGGCCCGCAGGTGGGAAGAGGGAGGGAGATGAGGGGACCGGTGCACTGCAGGATGGACCTAGGTAAAAAAACAGAGACGCGAGACATGTTGAGGGAGGAGGTGGAGACACGGGACAGACAGACAGACAGACATCCCGCACCACACCTCACCCTCACCCTTCCCCCTCCACCTTTTTACTCCCCTAAACTCCCCTTATTCCAAACCCGCCAGGGACAACCCCCCTCTCTCCCCCCCCCCACACACACCTGCAGCCCCACAAGTGCTATTGCCGTAAGGCCCAGAAAGCTGTGTGGGCTATACCAGTCCGGCATGGGGTCGGGCAGCTTGAGGCGGTGGGATTGCAGTACAGCCACGAAACCCAAGAAGACACACACGGTGGCGGCCAGGTGGCAACCCAAATGGATCCGCTTACGGACCTCCCTGTCGCGGACGAGATACAGCATTGGACGCACCGGAGACGTACGGCATCGGGAGTAGGGATGGAAAGGAAGGGAGGTTTTCGCGGGGGGGGGGGCATGGGGGAAAACCCGGGGGCCGTGTGGGTGTGTGGGTGGCATTGGTGGTGGCCAGCTTTCCTTTCAACGAATAACTGCCACTAACCACTTTCGATGCCATCACCGCCTAGAGAAATAAGTTTAAGAAAAAAGTTTACTGTTATTAGGAGGTACCACAAACTGGATTTGGGCTTACGCAGGCTGGCTGCTTAAGGTAGGGTGGGAGGCAGGTAGGAAAGACGAACCACGAACGAGTGAAGCTGCTGCCAGGGCAAGAGGGTACCAGAAGTAGAACTTACCAAAGGCGGGTAGGTTGGGAGGTGCGCGTGGGAGTTTGGTATGACCGGCAAGAGCCCTCTCTTTCTCTCCCCCCTTCTCTCCACCTTTTTTTCTTCCCCCCCCTCCCCTCTCTCTCTTTCGGGGTGTCAGTGCGGAAAGGCGGCACGTCGATGAGCCACGTAGGATAGGCTGAGTGGGGTTATTTTAAAAGGACTGAGCGGCAACGACGAAAACTGTGTGGATGCCTGATGTGAGTGACTGCGCATGAGACGGGTAGTGGAGTCAAACCATCGGGGGCACTCCACCTACCCCAGATTTGACTTTAGATTTAGATTTAGATTTAGATTTAGTTAGATTGCAATTCAAAACCGAGACGCTTGGTGTGTGCAATACCTGGGTAATCCTGGTATGATAGGCGCCTGGTACGACAGAAGAGCCTCAGCCATGAAAACCACGAAGCCCAGGGTCATCAGCTACGTGCGAGCGAGGGGAAGTCGGGAGGTTACATGGTGAGGCGGGGAGGAAGGGATATGAGGGAGGTGAGGGTGTGTGTTTCAGACCGTGAAGGGGTTTGGGGTCCAAGGAAGCAACATCACGGTGATTGTCCAGGGGAAAGGCTGGGGCGGGGCGAGGGACATGGGGGGGATGAGGGGTAGTGAGCACACAAGCGCGCGCGCACATCAACGCGTATCGTCGACACAGGCGCCAAGTGATGCCGCCTTCCTAGGAATTTCGTGTGTGTGCCCGCCTGTGTGTTAAGGGGGAAGGGGTAGCGTTGCTTCCACTGGTATGGGTGCAGTCCAAAAGAGTTCATAGGTCTTTCACGTCTTGCAGTGCTCATCCCAAACCCAACGTGAACCCACGCAACCTCACAAAAGTTAGGTATGGATAGATCTCCCGGTAAGCCATATCAGCATCCCCTGAATCAGCTGCTCTCGCTGTGCTCCAGGGCAACATTCCCATCTGATGTCGGCCCATCATGTGAACCTACTTTACATGTCCCCTCTGCAATCTTGTGGTAGCTAAAGTTACCGTGTTTCCTTACTTACCACGGGATGCCAGTTAAAAAGTTTACTGGTATCGTTCGTGCCATCTGGGTAACCATTAGTCTCCGGCTTGATACCGACACCGTGCAGGGGAACGCGCACCCAGTGACCGACTAAAACCATAATAGCAAGGCTGCATGCTCGTGCTAGAAAAGCAGTACCCCGCGGCGCGGGTGGTCCAATAATCCAGCGCGCAGGCTGAATGCCGAACGGGTCATCAATGCCAGTCATCTTACTACTGAAATTTTGCTTTGTTACAAATCAAGTCTTTGAGGATAAGCGTACAGAGTGCCTATTGTAGCATGCAAATTCGCGTTCTACCGAAACCGTTTAATGTGTACGGCCACAGGAATTGCGCCATGCAACTCCCGACTTAGGCCGCAATACGGCTAGAAAAATACTTTGACTCTTGAGAGCCGAAGCCTGAAAATTTTGGCGGCCTTGTAGTTATAATGCACTCTCACTTTGCTTACAGATGCGCACCGTTGCATTCTTGCAACAGCGCTGATGCATCAACTTGCTCTACATTTTCCTTGGTGCGACAGTGGGGAGACAAGCCAAGGGAACAGGAAATTTTTCGCAGCTTGTTTCATTCATAAACAACTTTGGCGTTTCCGACTAATCGCTGCAACACCCACTCCACAGATATTGGACGCACTTGTTAGCAATGGGGCAGAGCTTGTCCGACCAGTAAAAAGCTGCTAGCCAAGGAGTGAGCGCCCTTGATCAACAGCTTTCACCCTCCCCACGCCCTCCTGCCTACTTTGAACCGTTCCTGCTTCCTTGGCAATGACACTCCCCCAAGTATCCGACTCCAGCCCAATGAGCTGAAGTGAATTGAAAGCACAAGTGATTTCCAGAGCGTTTTAAGGACATCTAGTCGGTTCAGCACAACCACGACCTCACTGCACATCAGACCGAGGGAATGGCAAGCACGTAGTCTCTTGTACCAACTCAGCAGTCAATCGGATAAGTAAGGACGAGGGATCCGATCCAGCACCGGAACCAACTACCACATTTGCATAGGGCAGCAGGTAGACTGACCGGGCATCATGTACCTCAACACCAATGCCTCTGTGGTTGCACGAGATGCTGGCACACCTGGGCACTATTTCTAGCTCCTGAAAAAACTGGCACAACAATAAGCTTCGCTCGTGCTACCGTCACCTTTTGTGAGCTAAAGACTGTGTGCGCTGAGAAGCGCGTTATATTTTTATAAAATATGAGGCCACAATCATGCAGTCGACAATTAATCCTCATCAGGTCGTACTACTGGCACCGTGTGTTTGTGTTGCGCTTGGCAAGGGTGGGCTGGCAGGGATCATCTCATTCACCTTATCCATGGTGCTCTTTAGCAACTTTCCACGTGTGATAATACATAAGCTGCTATACATCGGCGGCAGGCCCCGGCCTTTAGCGATCAATTCATAAGCATTCGTTTTGACCTGCCATACAGCCTATTAAACACTCAGGGCGTGTAGCTCACGAACTGTAAATCCGAAATGATTTTATAGTAGCCGTCTTAAAGGACAGCTCCCGGACTTCAAGAAACAAAACACGGACGGGCATTTTGTGTTACAGGCTTCTACGTGCACGCCACGTTCTTTTACAAATTAAAAAATTTGCCAGGACTTGCACGGCTCTTGTTTGCTTTGCTTGAATGGGTACGGCAAATCCGCATCGTACTGCACAGCTGCAAGCTCCTCCCATTTGCCATTATTGATCGTGATCGCCAATGTGCAGGAAAGTGAGTTTGCCGGACTCCGCGTTTTGCGCTCCAGGTGCACGGGTTCCGAGTGTGAGCATCGTTGGGGTGGGCCATTATGGAACTTACACAGATTCTAATCATAGCAGCCGTAGGTATAGCTTTAGTAGCCTCCATTATATTACGGCAAACTAGAAGTTATGTAAAGCAGCTGGAGCAGCTGGACCCCAAAAAGAAGCAACCCCGCGAGTTTGGCATCTACACCCTGGAGCAGGTTGCCAAACACAACAAGCGGGATGATGCCTGGATCATCGTCCAGCACAAGGAAACGAAGGAATACCGCGTGTAGGTGGCGACCGGGTCTTAAATATGTTGTTAACGGGCAGTGGCGGGTCCTAGTAGCCATGGGCGTTGCCGCCAGCGGGCCCATGGATTGTTGGACATAAGAGGAGCACATGGAGGTGGAACAGTCGGGGTCCTCACGACACGCATTGCTTCAATCCAGGAGTCCTAGGAGTTCGGACTTAGCTCTCAGCGCTGCCTACAGGTCGGAGTCTACCAGACTCACGCCTACTAGGCTGTGCGCTACTGAGCTCCACCAACCACGGCCCAACCCCCCTTCTCCCCCGCTCATTGTCCATCATACGTCGCCCAGGTACGACATCACAGATTACGTGGACGAGCATCCTGGCGGCGAATCCATTTTAAACAACATTGGCGGTGACGCCACGGAGGGATTCCACGGGCCGCAGCACCCGATTACCACCTACGTGCTCGTGGAGGAGTACTGCATCGGCAAGCTGGCTGAGGGGGAGATGCCGTCCCCGCCCGGGGAACCCGGCGCAACGGGGGGCCAGAAACCGTAGGAAGCTGGCAGGGACATAGAAAGCCACGGACTCTGACGGACACATGATGGGCAGTGGGGGGTCATGGGTGAGCGACGAGGGACAAGGGATAAGGAGGCAGGATAACTAGACGTAGAAGATCTTAAGATTATCTTAGATTCTCTTTCGGCGTATAGGACCTTAGGGTTTTATGGAAGAAGCAACGGGCCTGGATTCTAGCTGAGGCCGAGAGACCTCTAACCAAAAGGAGCCCCCATGGCCTAATGGATATTGAGCATGACCAGGCATAATTTAGGCGATGATTCAATTCCACTGCGGCTGTTGATGTTGGTGAGGAGGATAACGACGATGACAGCGGAGGAGAACTTATGCCAGTTCTGGTGATCAGGCCCTCAGGTAGAGGGCCACACCGATTAGACAAGTATATCCCGGACTGGCCTGCTCCGGAAGCTGGGCCAGCCGCAGGTCTTACACGAGTGCGGATTTGGTTAATAAAAGTACTGTTGGAGGTGTGACCTGTCGGTTATTTCCGGGGCAGGGTGGAAGAAAGATGTGAACAGCGTTCTGGCGTACTGCGTGCACTGGGAATCGGCGTTGGGAGTTGGCGGTAAATCACCCTTTACACCTTCGGGAATGCCTTGCTAGTACGCTTCTGGATCTATCTCTATTCGACCTCTAACTAGGGAAAAAATGGCGGCTCCTCGTGAACAAGGGGGTAAGAAGTGATGCGTCCCTTGCCCGGCGTGTAAGGTGAAGTACCTCGGACATAGGGGGGTTGGGGCCCCACCAGTAGTTGAGCTGACGCCGCCCGTGATCCGGCCAATTCTACTGGATGGTGGCGGTGCTGGTTGGCGCTGAAACCGAGCACCTAAATTTGACTTTGGGTAGTGTCGGACGAATCGGGTACATCAACGGATCAATATGCCCCGAAACAAATACGGGAAGGCAGAAAGAAGGCCAGGGGTGAAGCCACAACCCTATGTCATCACCACACTCATAAATCCGTCGGCGATATATCCTTCACAACAGGAGAGGTACATCGCTCCCGCGCCATCCAAGCCGACCATGCAAAGAAAGGCAAGCTCAGGTTTCTGTGCTCGTCCCAAACATTTACCGGATACAGACCCCGCATCCACATATGCCTCCTCGCCTCTTCCTCCGGCCACATCGCTGCATACAGACCGCATGGGAAGCTGCCGCGTGCCAAGCACGTCAAGGCCTTCCTCAGCTCCTCACTCCAACCCAGCTCAGCCATGAACAAATATGAAAAATCCTCGCGGCCCGCATGTGTAATAACGTATCTTAAGGAAGCGTACCCTGGACATCTTCCGCTATCACCGAAACAGCACCACACCGCACCACAAGCCATGGCCCTAATATGCGCCACTCCAGCGTATGGCCCTTCACTATCCTTGACGGCACTACACACCACATCCCTCTGCGTACCTCTGCCGCGTGTGCGTGCGTGTGTGTGCACATCGGAAGATGAGGCGCATCAGACCCTGCCCACTGCCCACTGCGGTAGCGCAACGTGTTCCCACCGCCGCTCCAAAAGCCACACAGCAACACTTTCTGCAACTCTTTTCCGCGTTTTTTTGCTCTTACAGCTAAGCTTTGCTAACATAGTCAAGAAAGGGAGAGGCGCCGAGATGCAGCTTCCCACACGCAGCCCGTTGCACCACAGTATCACTTTAAAACATATGGGTGCCTTCCAAAATCCAAAACCTTTGCACATGCGTGCGGCCCTCAGCAGCTTGCCACTCGCCCCGCTAAATGCTTTTCCCGCGGCCTTGGCTCGAATTGCAATTGCAGGTTGTTACGTGTTTCTTTTTACCACGGCAGGCGCTGGTGCAGCAACCTCCGTACACACATCAGTCCTTTCAGCACAAACTACATACATACATACATGCATACATACATACAATACCACTGTGCCACACACACCCCAGACCGCCAGACGCCGCGGGGACGCGCCTGCATGGATGGCTCTTAACGTTGACAGCGGTGACGGACCCCTCCCATTCAACTTCTACCCCACATAGAGACATGCCCCACTCCAAGCGACCTGCCCAAAGTTTTATCGCTTCTTCCAGTTCTTCGTATCCAGGTGCAATTGGTTGGTATACATGGCTTTGCGCGATGCAATCGGTCATGATAAACTTGGCTTTATAGGCTGTATACATGACAGGAATGACGGGAACTATGCAGAAACCAGCGCTGCTAACGCTGCTGGGTAGCTGGCGCGGCGCCGGCAGTCCGATTCGCAAAGAACATGGCCCATTCCGAGTCCATGGTTGAGGAGTGGCTGCCGCCGCTGGGCGCCGCCAGCAATCCAAAAGGGTTTCCCGCAGCGGCGGCGGTGCTGGTAGCATTCGCGGCCTGATCGAAGGGGTTGCCGCCGGTTGACGGGGACACCGTCGCTGCCGACGATGACGGCGAAGGCTGCGCGGCGCCGCCAAACGGCAATGACGGTACGGCAGGTGCGGCGAAGGGATTGTTCGCGTTCGTTGCTGCCACCGCTGTGGCCGCCGCCGCCATGCCGTACATCCCGTACGATTGCTGCTGCGGTGACGTGTAGGCGTATTGCTGGGGCTGAGGCTGGGGCTGCTGTACTTGCTGCGGGTACGATCCGTACGTACTGGTGTACGGCGGTTGGCCGGCCGCGACGGCCGACTGGGGTGCTTGAGGCGGTTGTGTCTGAGCAGTCCCGGGTGACAGCACAGCCTGTACGGCCACTGGATCCAAAGCTGCGAACGGATCTGCTTGCGGGAAATGACAATTTCCAAATCCAATCCAAATTTCCAAGGAAGGGAGGAGCGGGAGGAAGAGGGGCATGGGCATAACGCACGCAGTCAAAGCGCGTCGGAAACGGCCTTGGCAGTTGTTTTACAACCGCCGCTTTCAACCAACCAACCGGGAACGACCTCTTCCTCCCTTCTACCTGTGTCCCGGTCCATTTTACAGGAGACCACAAACACAGATTGCACCTCTAATCATCCATCCGCACCTAGAAACCCCAACAAATGACGCACGCTTTCCCCCGCCCCGCCCCGGCGGGCGCCCCTGCTCCGGCGCCCCAACAACGCCCAACCTCGAAACCTAAGTCGGGCCCAAGGGCTCCGGGAGACCCACCGGAGGGAAGAGCCTTCTCCGCCGATGCCACCGCCGCCAGTGCCGCCGGCGGCGTCGCCGCCGCCGGGTTTCCGCCCAGCACCGCTGGCGGCTGCGGCAGCATCGCATCGGAGAAGTCGTCCAGCATGATGAGGTCCCCGGATGGCACGACGCGGCTGGTGGTGACGGCTACGCCTGAGGCGCGAGTGACACCAATTGCGCCAGTTGCTGCGCCGGTGGCCTGCTGCTCGATCTCTCGTTGATTGGAGGCCACGTCCTGTGGCGGGAGGGGGTCATAAAGGTATCGTAAAAAGAAAGTAGGATGTACTAGAAGGAAAAGGGGAGAGGGGAAGAGATAAGGGGGGAAACTGTTCTGCAACGCACGTCGCATGCAGTCACCTTGTGTACGTGAGGGGTTAATGGGTGCTTGGCACTTCGAGTGTTGTGAAGAAAACCACCCAGCATCTCCCCGCTTAGTTCGGCACGCTGCCGGTAGAGCGCGCGTGCGTGCGTCCGCTGCTCTGTGCCACTTTGCTTCATTGGTCCCACCACCGCAATTGACAGAGCACAGCACAGCACAGCACAGCACAGCACAGCACAGCACAGCAAACTCGCCACATTCCATTCCGCAGTCTGCCACCTTCCCCACCCCTTCCCTCCCTCCACTCCACACGTTTCGCTGCCCCTTCGAGGCTGCCCCTTGCCCACTCTGCTGCTCCTCGCAGCACCCTGTAATCCTGTAACCCCCCCTCCAGCCAGTCCGAACCGCACACTCCCCCTCCCTCCTTCCCCAAGTCTGTTCCGCTGAGCTTCGGGAGCTTCCGGAGTTCCACGCAGTTTCGTCATCGCGTTGGGATTCTCAACGCTGGGAGCTTTGGCGGCAGCAGTTGATCGTCTGCCTCTTGCATCGTCTGATTTCCTCCCTTCCCCTCCCCTCCCTCTCTCCCCCTGTCCTCCCTCCGCCTGTCAGCCCCGGATCCATATCCCCGCTGCAGCGCTGCCGGCTTCTCCGTAACCCCCCTCCCCGCTCCTTAGCCTCCCCCTTTTGCTCCACACCTTCTGCAGCGCCAGAGCGCCATCCAACATATCGACCGCCTCCAGGGCCTTCATGGTGATTTCCTCCACCTGGGGTTCGCCGCTCATGGACTGCAGCTGCTCCAAGTAGGCGTCGAAGAGACTGCGCAACTCACGAACCTTTTTGATTTGGTGAAATTCATTCAGATGGAGTTTAAACACCAATACACAGAGGACGGGAGGGAGGGGAGAGGGAGAGGGCGGGCAGGACGGAAATGAGGCAGGGAGCAGCAGCAGGTGAGGGAGCATGGAATGTGAATGTGAATGATTGAGGATATTCACATAAGCGCCCTCATGGGCTGGCGGAACTCAAGTCGGATCGAGTGCCGCGTCAGAGGTGTTGATAACCCCCTCGTCGGTTCCGGCCTAGTCCTCTCACGACGAGGTGAGATTGCGAGTAAATTAAGATTGCGTGCCGTGTGACATGTAAATGTAACAGGCTGGAGGCGTGCGCCTTCCCGTCAAAAGTCCGATTAATATACATACATACAGATACCGGATCACACACTCCATCCGACAGCCGGAGCCAACCGCCTACATACCTCAGTGACCAGCTCGCGAGTGAGCTCGTTTTCGAAGTCGTCAGCCGCGGGACCGGACGCGGAGGTGCCGGCCCCACCTTGCGGCAGCTGCGGCAGCTGCTGCTGCCCACCCGGGGGCCCCCCTTGTCCCCCTTGCGCCACCAGCATCTCGCTGAGCAGCTCCGTGTTCGCTCGGGCCTGCTCGATCATCGCCTTGACCTCCTCCACCACGATCACCGCCTCTCGAGCGACTGCGTGCGCGAGTGGATGGGAAGCATTACGCATGTTGCATGCTCCACAATCGAAATCAGGATAAGGAACATCAGCAACTGTGCGAAACTGCCCTGGGGTTGCGTTGCTCAGCGGTCGTAGAGACAAAAAACAGGTAAGGGGAGGGGGGAAATCAAATGCAAAAAATTAGTGTTGTTAGGCAAAAAAAACATCAATTGCCGATATGGATGCGTGTGTCGCAGATCATTCCTGGCTTTCCTTTCTTGTTCACTCATATCGCTCAGAGAGCACACGGCCCATTTTACACAAAGCAAGCACACAAGCACACATGCACCTCCGGGTACTTCGTCACCCACCCGCCGCGTTAATCGCCGCGGCGTACTCGGCCGACATGTTGCCGTTTTCTATCGTTGACCGCGTGGCGGCGCGGAAGGCGCTTGTGCCCGCCCTGCCGTACGACCTGAGCAGCTCCTTCGCCGCTTGCCGCGTGTCCTTGGCTGCAAGGGACAGCCGAGGTTGGGCGGGTGTGGCGGGCCGCGTTGGGCGGCAGCGGCGATAGAAGAGATAGGGGAGGAGGAATATGGAGCGTCAGGCGAATGGGATGTTGGCGGCAGGGGGGACGAAGGCGAGGAAGCACACAAGCCAGGGGACAGCCTCCTGGTCCTGAACCGGTTGACGCCCCTCCCTCGAGCAGCTGCCGTTGCCCCAGGTGGCCTGGTGACGTTGCTGATGTTTTCAAGCTGCTGCTGCTGCTGCTGCTGCTACAGCTGCCACTTGCCCGATACAGTTACTGATGCCTCTGGTCCGTTGCCTTTCCGCTAAGGGGGCCGTGAGCCTCGGCCCGCTGCGAGGAATGCCTTGCATGTGACAGGCCCTACAGCCTAGCGAGGAAATGCGCGGCCATGGCAAAAGGATGACCGGCAAAGCCACCGCCCTCGTGCCGGAATCCAACCCAACCCTACCCTGTGCTAAAAACCAAAATCCACCGCCAAAGCCCCACCGAGGATAAACCATCATCGCAGCAACGGTTTAACGCATGCCAGGACCATCCTCTCCCCCCACCTCCCCCTCCTCCCAAAGTCAGCGCTCCCCAAATCAGCGACCCAAGGGTCCCGAATCTCACTCTAACCCAGATCCACCGCCCCAACCCAACCGCATTCCATAGTCCACAGGCGAACGCTACGCACGCCATGCACTTCCCCTGGACGCTTCTCAGCCAGGCAAAAGCTGACCGGGGCCCCGCACCGGCAAGCACCCTCCCGCGATGCAGTCAGATACAGCGGACACTCATGATGCGGCGGACTCGTGAACGAAGAAAGCGCACGCCACGTTGCGTTCTGCTAGAGTCTCGCGCGAGCAATCGGCATGGGTCCCTGCGCTCCCCCACGCTGCGGCCGCCCCAAAGTAGCGTCACGGAAATCTGACGCCCCATTCCGCCAGCTCCACTGCAGCGGCTGCTGCTGCTGCTGTTCCCGCTCCTGCTGCTTCTGGCTCCTGTTGCTCTCCGAAAAAATATATTCTTAGACTGACACCGACGGATACGCACATTCATGGTAACCTAGTCTGTCGCGTCCTGGTCCGCGTTTTTCTTTGCGTTTTCGTAAGCCACCAAGAAGCACTTCCCGTTCTCCCGGGCCCATCCCATATGGTATGACCCCACTGCAATGCAGGCAGTGGCGCAGCACCCACCTGCAATTGTATCCTGTCTGGCCGGCCGTGCCATGACCCGGGCCACCTCCTCCAGCAGCTCCTCCCGGTAGGCGTCCAATGCCGGGGAGCAGTCCCGCATGACCCGCCCCACCAGCAACACCGCCAGCCATTGCTTGTGCGGGTTGTCAGTACGCAGCCGCTTCTTGAGCAAACCCACGATCTCCTGCGTGCAGGGATCGAGCCATGCCGAGGGGCATGGTTGGGATGTGGGTCGGCATGGCGGTGCGGCTTTTGGCGGGGCGCCATGGGGTCCGGCAGGGCAGCGAGAAGGTAAACCGGAAAGCGGGGGGAAGTTCAACGGCGGCAAGGGCGATATGCGACGTGGATCCGGGCTTTATTGGTCATTCTTCGCTTGGGACGGCTAAACTTTTCATCCGTCAGGCTCCAGCCTCATGTGCGCGTGCATATGCTACGCGGATGCATGATTGTTGTGGTAGAGGAGGTGCAAGGACCGAGACGAGCTTCGACCATGAAGTCAGACTGCGGTGCATTGCTGCTTGGTGAGCCTCACAAGGTTGATTCCCAGATGCAGCCCGGGTCGAATGATTTGGGCCGTGCTGACGCTGAGGAAATGCGTTCTTCCGGGGAGCGCGTGGATCCAGCGGTCGGTATGGCCCAGAGGTGGCAGGAAGCTGACGCGTAGACTTCGTGGCTTCATGGAGACCCCGGCGGTTGCAGGAGGCAACCGTGTGGAATTAAATCTGCTCGTGGATGAGTAGGCGTATGCATGCATCCGTGCATGCCTGGGCGCATGCATGGGCATCAGGGATGGCCAGTCTTGTGATACTGGTAAGGACCTTGCTGGCGTTGCAATCCAAGGTGTGCCATCCGACGCCGCGCGGTTGGTGTCATCCACTCCAGCTCACCAAACCAACAGAACACCACTGACGGGGATGTGCTGGCTATGAAAGGCTGGGAAAGAGAGACATCTTTCGGCTCACCTTGCTGTCCTTCCCGTTTGCGATGTCAAGGTTAATGGTGTCGACAACCTGCACGTTCATTCGACCCATTATCGCGTACTCTACATAACATCACGAGGTGTGTAGAAGTTATAAACCTTGCGGGGTGCCAAAGCGCACGCTGATTTGGCCTGACAGCTCCCTGGGTTCTCGTCACTACCCTATCAACCTTACACCCAACCTGAACCAGCAAGCAAAAAAAGCTCCCTAGGTAGTAACATGGGTTCACAGGACAAGCCCTACCACCCCACCTAGCTCTCAACCAACGTCCGTCCAGGCTATCCTGTGGACAAGGACAACACCTCCCACAAACACATTACAAATCCGAGGTTATATTCTAATGACCTTACCTGTGAGGCCAGCTCCTCGCTTGGCTCCAAGAGTTCCTTGGCGGTAGCCTTTCGGAGTTGGTCCTGTAAACTTTCGCCTAACAGGTTGTCTGCATACTTAGGCCCGCCTTTCAAGCGCTCGACAACCCCGTGCGTAATATCTCTTAGGCCCTCCTTAATTTTGGCAGCCATCTTCTTTGTTTGCTGACCAAGGTGAACCCTACTGTAATAGTAAGCCGATCCTTGTAATAATTAGTTATCAATAGCAACGCTGTGCAACTAGAGCGAGTCGATCGTTTGTTTCCGAGTTGAAAGTCCGGCAACCCGGCATATCACACATCTTCAGAAGCCCCATACTGCAGGTCGACTACAGCCGTGAGCTCCAATCTTATGGGACATGTTAACTTATATTACCCGAAAACTTTCGATTGGGGTGTTGCATAAGTTCAGCCATTCGTCCGGCACAGTCCACTTAACTTCTCTCGGCGAAGTGATGAGGCCATATGCCGGCTTCTAGTTATTAGCTATTGGCCTTTCACCACAAAGAAGTATAGTGGCCAGCATATAACGCTGTTACATGCCTTAAGCCTCCATACGAGCTTGTCTTTCGACTCCGACTGCTCTTAAGAATTAAGCCGCTCAAGGTAGCGCACCGACGCCACGGTTTAGGGCTTTTAAGCATCAGATATCGGTGTTGGGAAGCAGCACTGCTGCTGCCGCCAAGCCGCCAAGCTCTCCGCCGACAAGGAGGCCACCTTGCAAGCACAGCATCGTGAGCAGCCTACGCCATGGCGACACGCTGTCAATTTGAGAATAGCAATGATGTCGGCGTGTTTGCTAAGCTGACCAATGCCTATTGCATCTGCGCGCTGGGCGGGGCAGAAAACTTTTACAGTGTATTTGAGGCCGAGCTTAGCGACCACGTCCCCGTCATTAAATCGTCTGTGGCTGGCACCCGGCTAGTCGGGCGGCTTACGGTGGGCAACCGCAATGGCCTGCTCCTACCCAACACCACTTCCGACCAGGAGCTGACGCACATACGAAACTGCCTTCCCGACGAAGTCGTCGTGCAACGCATCGATGAGCGCCTCTCCGCTCTCGGCAATTGCATTGCCTGCAATGACTATGTCGCACTCATCCACCCCGACATTGACCGCGAGACCGAGGAGATTGTGGCCGACGTGCTCGGGGTCGAGGTCTTCCGCCAAACCGTTGCCGGTAACGTCCTTGTGGGCAGTTACTGTGCCTTCACGAACCAGGGCGGCCTGGTGCACCCCAAAACAAGCATTGAGGACCTAGATGAGCTGTCTAGTCTGCTGCAGATTCCCCTAGTTGCCGGCACAGTAAACCGGGGCAGCGACGTCATTGGCGCGGGCTTGGTGGCAAACGATTGGGCGGCTTTCTGCGGCCTGGACACAACGTCTACGGAGCTGTCGGTGATTGAGAGCGTGTTCAAGCTACGTGATGCACAACCTATGAACATTGTTAACGACCTCCGCGCCAGCCTCATCGACACCATGGCATGAGCTGCGTGCGGCGTGGCTCGTGGAGAGGGGTTGGGGGTTTGTCGGTTGGGTGCAAAAAGGCTGTTGGGGTAGTTTGCGTTTGCGAGACAGATACAGCGTAAGGGCAGCATAACGCGACAGGGGCCGTTTCCGTGCGCATAACGTAAAGCATGTCAGGCTCTGGCTTCTAACGCAGTCACTGATACTGCCGGTGGTGTTCCGGTCTAGTCTGGGCAGCCACGTATCGCTGCTGTTAAGAGCTATTGGAGAGGTGCATTGCCCGCATGGCGCCCACCAGAGCTTTCGGTTTGTCGTGGTTATGACGAGATATGGCGTGTGCATCAATCCGCGGGGTGCGCGTGCATATAGCGACATTCTGCTGCTCGCGGGACATTTTCAGCGGAGCCTTATTGCTCTTGGGTCGGCAATGGTGGGCGTGCCCATCAGTGCGGCGATATTCCACTGTTTCCGGAGCTTTACTTCGAAGCTTTATTGCACTTGGGGCTAGCAGCTGGGAGCTGTTCGTCGGCTCATCAGGCCGGAAGTGAACATTTGGCATGAGCTAGGAGCGGGGTGTGTGGCTGCGCCCTTTTGGCCATGGGACTTGCTGATGGTAGCAGCTTTGGTTTATCGGTGTTGGTACGTAGGGGCGCGGGGTGATATGTTGCAACCGGTACAGGGCACTCTTGGTCTGAAGGTGGTAATATCTGCGTGGGGTAGCACGACATCCCCTTGGCATAGCACATGGAGTTGCGCGGTGGCTGGCAGGACTCGGGATGCAGGGCTAGGAGACCACGTGGGTAGGTTAAAATTCTTGTCTGCTGGAACCAGGCAGCAGCAGTGCCTTGTGGCACCATTGTTGTTGAAGACGGAATGGCACTCTCCACCCTACACTCCACCTTACCTTAGTTAAGTTGTCCTTGTGAAGAATGAGATGCCAGGCTAGGTACTTGTGCGTTGCTGCCGAGCGCCATGGATTCGGTTCAAGAAGCCACACGGCCTGGCCTTATGCTGTCGATTACTGCCCTGGATGGGCTTGTGGCTCAATTGCAGCTAGATGTGTGATGTGATGCCCCGGATGTGTGGCATAGTCGCAGCTTTGGAGATTGCTGGGTACACAGGGCACATGAGTCGAAGTCAGGTCTATGGCTTCTGGCAGCGGAAGGAACCATCCACGTAGCATGCTAGATTTGTGTTCGACATATTGTGTTGTAAAACATGTTGTCTTCACTGTAGGCACATTACCATATGCCGTAACCACAACGGGTGGGGAAGTCCGGCCACTTACAACTGTATACAAAAAGCAGTTGCATGAGACCTACCGAGAAAACCTCTGGTACCCCCGATGGTATGGTAATGAGCACCAAACCGCGCCTAGGTCCCCGCAGCCTGCGGAATGTGGGTTCCCTGTTCGCAATCTGAAAGTTCTATATCGACAGCTACTCAGCTTTCTATCCTAACCTCAATACGCACATCCCGCTGCCGCCTGCTGCTTGTGCGTGGACTCCTACCGCTTCAGCATGATTGGTGGACCGTGACGCCAATTCCTTCGCACGCCAAACGCCATTATGTGGTTTCCTTACCCACCCAACCACCCAGCCCCGTGCACCCCTGCAATCGGTGGTTAATTCCATGGAACAGTGCACGAACGAACACGGGCGGGCCAATGATGGATGAGCCGTACACGACACGCGGCCCTCACTGCTTACTGTCCGCTGGGTTCCGCATCTACTGATTTGCTTTCACGAGATACCCATTGCATGGGCTGATCCCAGACTCCTGACTCGATGTGCTATTACTGTGCCCCTTACACGTACCCTTGGCCTCCAACCCGCTGACACCCCTCAAGGCGCCTGACATCTCGAGCAGCGCCAATGCATGGTTCGAGGGGCTTCACGCAGGCCCCCTGGAACCATTTACAGCTCATAATCATAATAAACACGCTGCAATAACATCGACCCATCAATGACTTGTTCTCACCTCGCTCCAAATCCGATCCACTCAACGGCAAGATCCCCGCCATGCATGTCGCAGTGTCCTCCCCTTCCGTGTTGCATTGGCAAGAAAACCTAGATTGGCGCCCAGTTCCTAAAACGGACAAAACCCCTAACGCTATCCATGTCCTTGCAGGTCTTGCCGCAACGACCCAGAAACCCGAATGCCATACCGTTGCTGTCGAGCTGACACAAGCCTGGATGGTATCCTGGCGCAAGCTTAGACAGATGCGGAGAACACTCCTCCTTCCGCCTCCTCCTCGTCCTCCTCAACTCACAGGACTCGAATGTAGAGCTCGGGAAACTGTCCTCGCTGCTCCGAAGTCCCGTTGGGTGACTCCCACTGCTGAAACGCCACCGTCACGCCACCCGCAATCACCGTCTCCAGGCACTCCTCACAGCAATATGATTCAGAGCCCTTAATCAGCGCCGACAGCATGTAGTACTTTCCTGGCTGCAGCGGTGCAGGGTCAGGAAACATCAGCCGCAGCACGCTACCATCAGCCTTGGTGAACGACTGGGCGACAGAGCAGCAGGTGGCGAGCTCGCGGTTGTAATCCTCGGGATCAACCTCGTAAAGTTCCATTTCCACTGTCAGGCCGCCCTCCGTGCCGCACAACCCAACGCCAAGCAGCTGTACCGGCTTGTCCACCGTAAATACAAGCTCGTCCTGCCCGTCCTCGTACCTGAAGGGCATTTGTACACGGGGAGACCGGGCAGGGGGCAGGGGTTGCCTGGTGGTGGGATGTAATGCGCCGCGGCGGAAAATTTGGGACGCGGAACCATTGCAGCTGTAGCAACAGCAGCAGTCGCAGCAGCAGTAGTAGCAGTAGTAGTAGTAGCAGCAGCAGCAGGGCGTCTACCCTGGTGCAACCAACGTCCTCTCCTAAAGCGGGCCGTGTGGTGTAGCCGGGGCCGGGCGGTCAACCTAGCGCCGCCTTTGCGGCCGTTCCCCAGCCCTCCCAGCCCCTCAGAAGCCACCCTCCCAACTCCAGGTCCCTGACCCAGCCCTAGTACTCACGAAACCGCCATCACAGGCCCGTGCAACAGACTCCGCGCGGCCGTCTGGCCGGCAAAAGTACACTTCCTAGTTAAACCCCAGCTTCTTAAGTTCCGTACCCGGCCCCGACCCACATCCACGAGTCCTCCATGTTCAACGCTGCTGCACGCGCCACCCGGGTAAGGCCGTGTGGGAAGCGGTCAATGGCCGCCATAAGGCCCGTCAGGCCGTAGTAGTTCGCCTCCGCGCGCAACTCCAGAAGGTACTTGATGTCGGCGGCGGTGGGGCTTGGCGTGGAGAAGGAGCTGCCGCCGGCCGTCCCCGACGCATCGGCGAGCGGCAGTACTGGTCCCGGGTAATTGAAGTGGCCGTCGCGGAGGCTAGGCATATGGGAAGGCAGCAACGGCACGCAGAGGAGGTGAGAGCAGGGTGGTCTCTGGGAAGGAGGGTAGGAAGTGGTACATGGAACGCAGCTACCGCCCCGCAATGGGGCGCCACTCTTCATCTTGAGGGGATGATCCCTCCAGAACCATGCCATAGCTTCTGCCGGGGCAGCCACAGTCGTCAAAAAGCTCCGAAAGCCGCCATTACGTCGTCGCCCATCCATCCCATCACCTAGCCCTTCCTCCCCCTTTTCCGGGCTCACTAGTTCAGGATGTCGTGGAAGTGGCGGCCATCCCGGTCGATGAAGTAGCAGCCCTCCTCGTCCTTGGTAAGCTTGTGACGCCCACTAAACATGGCGTTGAAGAGGGACGGGTTGGGTGCATTGCGCAGCGTGTTGACCGAGGTGGTGAACTTGCGACCTCCCACGTTGAGAGTCACCTGATGGTACCGCAGGTTGGGTTGCGGCGAGTTGGGGTGAGCTGGATAGGATGCCATACGGCGGTAGTGAATCGGATGGGGTGAGTGGTGGCGTGGTTGCGTTAGGTAGGACGCTACGCACGGGCGGCTTTATACCCAGCCTGAACGGCGTGAATGGAGGTACACAGCAAAAAAAATCATGCAGCGCCGTGAGTAATGGGGCTATGGGCAGTGTTTTTAGAAATGGTTACTAGTGACCAAGTGGTTACTGAGAAAATAATCCCCTTCAAGAAGGTGGTGTCACTAGGAAATGTTTCGAGTCACCTGCCAGTAACCAAGTGGTCGCCAGGATATTGGGCCACAGACCCCCCTGGTAGTTGTGACCACCTAAAAAGCTTTCCGTACAAAGCAGCACTGGAACGAGTCGGCTGCCTACCGCTGGGCAGACCACGGCTCATGAGCTGTTGGAACCTCTTGGTTCGTTAAGGCGGAACGGCTTATTACTTTTGCGAGCAGCGGATGTAACACACACGCACGCACACACACACACACACATGAGCTGTGAACAACGGCGATAACCCGGTCGCCCAGAAAGTTATGAAGCGGATCAGCACGGCAGATATTAGAGGTAAGGCCTAGGGCACATGGCCAAACGCACGGAATGAATGTCCTCGGATCACGCGGACTGGCGACAAGGCCCGGTGCAGCAGCACAGTCCGCAGTCCTGACCGAATGCGGCCCGAACGCAAGTCCAGTGCTTGACCGCAGCTGGATCGTCTGCGTGTGCATGTATCCATGTCTTGCAGACATGCGTGCAACAGTCGTTCTGCTGAACGATTAGCGCCTGGGGAGGCACGCACGCACATTCAAGCTGCTGCCGAAATAAAGAGAGCCGGGTTCGATCCCTCCCTCCCTCACGGCTTTTCCCCAATGCCCAGGTTCCCCACTGGTGACCTAACCGCGGGGATGAGCGGGTCAACCCAGAGACGGCCCCAGGCCCTGATTCATGCGTCCTCTCATCCCCGTCGATGGCGCCAGCACAGCATGTCGCGCACGCACCCAGCCGCTGTAATGCACCCAGCTTTGAGCCGCGTTCAGCGACGCCTAGGAGCGCCACACGGATGCGAGATTCAGCGGCCTGGTCCGGGTTGCTTAGCAGCAGCACGGATGCCGGCGTAAAGGGCCCTTTGGCTGTAGCCAGATCAATGCCGGCAGGCCAGGGCTGTGATGAAAGTGCACACGCTTGTTGGTATTTCCAGACAATAGTCATGAATTAGTACTGCGGAAGAAGACGGCCTCGGCGGGTTTCCCTACCCAGGAAAGCTGCCTTGGGTTACAGAAGGACTCCTCCGAAATGCCGAGAGAACAGCTTTGAAATGCCGAGGACGCTGTTAATGAAAATACGCATACCTTCGCAGGAGCCTGGCAACGGAGGCGAGATCCGGCTGATATTGTATTTACACTATTTTAGGCAGAGTATCGGACGAGTGATGAAGTGATGAGATTCAGAACCATGCCGCTGTGTGCTATGACCTCACCCCAATTGCACAAACCCGGCAGGGCCCCAAGTTCTGCTTCTTCCACCCCACGGCATGGGATCTCCAGGATTTAACGACCAGGGGACAAGCAGAGCTAGCGCCTTTTCGGTGTCGGGCATGGAACTTAAGGTCCCATTGGATAACCCTATGTATAGCGCGAAGTGAGGCTTGAACGTCCCCGGTCCCCAGCAGGCGCAGACACGTTCCCAAACAAGCCCCCGGGCATGGCCCTCTCAAAGTCACCTGCTCCACGTCGTTTAGTATCGTGTGGACCCGCTGGCGCTCGAGCTCCATCGCGTGGCGTTCTGCTTCCAACGCTTTGCGCTCCTCCTCCAGCGCCTTGCGTTCTGCCTCCGTTGCTGCGACTAGTTCGCTGATCAAGGTGTGAAACGTGGATGCCCCAGACCTGAACCTAGATAGAGCTACATCCATACTGCAGGCGCTGGGGCGGCCGTTTGCTGACGGCATAAGAGGGCCCGCATCTCCGCGACCTGACGTGCTGGCGTCGGCAACAGATGTGGTCTCCTGCGAAAAGCGACAAACTAATATATTCCTTTCAAACTGCAAGAAAACTTGCTTAACGCGCATTAGTGCGCTCCAAGACCGCCAAGGTGACGACGAAAAACAGCTTTTACTAACAATAAAGTCAGTAGATTTCGCAATTTCAAATTACCTTCGTAGACCATACGGGGCTTGAGTCCTCCGATGGGCTTGAGTTCATTTTCTACTTCTGGAGACGTGGAGCCCACCAAACGTCCCAGTAAGTATTAATGCATAGAGATGCTATATAAAAAAAGTTCCCCACGGCGTATTACAATTAAGGCTTCTTATTGGGTGTTAGGCTGACGCGTGAGGAGACTAACCAAAACCCAAAGATGGACCCACCTTTAACTACACCCTAACTACTTAGCAAGACAAAGCCACTTTGGTGGACGGAAGAGGATTCGCAAGTTCGTTACCGCTCTGTACGACACAGTGGGATTAACTGTCATGAATTTCTTTGGGCCCCTCGTCCCCAGCGCAAAGCAGCTGGATAGCAAGCTTGGGCATCTTTCAGGGCGGTACCTGCGAAATCCAGGTAGCAGAATTTCTACTGTGTCATATCATTACGGCGCAGTTCTTTGGGACCTCGGCGTTAACTGCCACCCTCTGCCGGAAGACCAAACCCGACTCAGCACTTGAACCTCTGCCCTTGCACAGTGAGATGCGTAAATTTTTTTAATTAATGATTTAACAACTTCAGCGTTCCCAAACGGCGTCGACAAAGAGGATGATTCCGTAGGTACCATCCCGGTTTTCGTACTATCACGTTTTTGGCCTCATGCACCCTGTCCATGTCCCCGACACACAGGCATGCTTCTGGTACCGCATCATGCGTGTGTGTCTGTGCAAGAGGAGGTCGCATAACGGGACCTGCAGCATTCCCCTACATGTCCTCAACTCCTGTCACCTAGCCGCCCCTCGGCGCCTCATCACCAAGAAAGGATCAAAGTCACACTGTACACCTCCTCTATGGACGTGTATGCGTCATGGCGCCATGGCGTCCTGGTTCTGAATGTTCCCCCAACTGTCGCTCGGGCGGCACAAAGAAAGCAACCCCGGCGAATGAAGCCACCACCAACCCTGTCTCCGTTTTTGACTTTGGATCCGGTCGTCCCTTAGCACGCAACGCAGCCTTTAACTCCCCTAAAGGTCTGCTCACCGCGCTGCTCCGATCGGACAACAAAGCCGCACCTTTTCCGCACCTCTTCTTCACCAAAGGCACGTTACGGCGCACGTGGCACCCAACTGAACAGGAATCGACTGCTCTCATCAGTGAATTTGGAGCACAAGAGCCAAACAAACCACCTTGCTTTTTTAAATTTTTTATTTACCATGCCTCGGATCGCAGCTTTCACTCTCACCTTGCACGTCCTGACTGTCAACGATAAGAGGGGAGCGCCGTGGCACGTTTTTAGAGATGAACCTCAAACCATTCCCTTTCCCCTGCGACCGTACGGTGTATAGCATTACATGAGCCTTCGCGACAGATCCACCCGAGCGTTTCCAAAGCGTTTTTTCCCACAGGGCACATCAACAAAACTCCAAGCACTGAGCTCGTCCTTTTTCTTCCGTCACAGAAAGAAACCTGACACGCTGGAGCGAACCCACCAGCAGCTTTCCTGTTGTAGTGCAGCTCCGGAACTTACTGTTGTACCTGTCGTATTTTGGATCCGAAACGCACGGCAACTTTTCATCCGGTCTTTGATTTTTCAGTCGCAGTTGATTTTTTTTAATCTCGTATCTAAACACAAAACAGAAAGGCGATCCTTTTTTGATTATTGAAGCTCCCACCGTTGATTTCCCCGCGTTTTCACCCTCGGCAGTACAAGCTGCACCAGTGGCAGCTACCCCACCCCGCAATACGTCAGGACCCAAAACTTTAACGGCGCATCACGGCCACCATATCTCTCGCTCTGCAACGGACATCTCCTCCACCACACAATCCGCAAAAATCTTCTTCCACTCAAATCTTCTGTTAGTGCTCACAAGGAGCAAGTAACACGACAACAAGAAGCCCTAAGAGACATCTTCAGTAAAATAAGAAAAAACAGGTCGCGTCGGCAGCCCTGCAGTTCTTTTGTATATTTAGGAAAGCATACCACAAACAACAAAATCGCACTGGAATCTGCCTTCGTCACTGCTTCACATTTCCGAATTCCGAAACAACTTCAACCCTCTATTCGCACACTGAACAAGACACCATATAAGGCTCCCTTGATCTCCCATTACACGCATACAGCAGGACGCCCGGGTACAGCACAGTCCTTGAAAAGTACTGCTAGTACTGGCCTTTTTGGTGACATGCGAGGTCAGACATCCTCGTCCAGACATCCACTCATCGACAGCCATTCGGGGGAAGCCCTAGGGTTCGGCACGCTCCTCAACCCACTCCCCCACGCTCCCCCACGACCTCCGGAAGAACGGCTCCTCCGTGCCGATGAAGAGATTCTCCCCCTTCAACTTAAGTGGAGCCCGCTACGGCACACTTCTTTTTCCTGATCTGATCAATCATGGCGAGACCCTTCTCGAGCATCAGCACCGCCAGAGCATCACCTGCCACGACGGCAGGGCGACGTTGGATTTATTTACATCAAGAAATGTCGGACAATATCACTTTTGCCTTGACTCGTGCCGGGGTACCCTAAAGCCTTTTCGTTACGCGGCCGCAACGTGTCGAGGCCGCATGATTCACGTATATCGCATCATTCACGTATCCGTGCTGACACAGTCACAGGCGCCAAAACAAACCCCAGATGATAACCCCAGATGATAACAGGGGAGTGGTAAAGGGCATCAGAACACTTCTTAAGAATCAACAGAGGGGGAGCATCAGGATGCAGCGGCTGCGGCCGTGGTTGCCGCCGCGCCGTTGCGCTGCCCCACAAGGGCCGCTGCTGCTGCTGCTGCTGCCGGGCCGAACTCGAAGCACGGCTCATCCGCGAGCGCCGCCAGGTCATCCACGATGCGGTACACAGCCTGCGTCGTACAGCAATACGACAGAATTTCACTTCCACCAGAAATACGACATGAAGCTTTTTGCGAGGAAGGTATCAGCATCTTCATCCCGTGTGGAGCCGGGCGACTTACAAAAAAGGGTCCCAGAGGAACTGCTTCCCTTCTGCACGTTGTCGCACGCACACGCGGTGACCAATACACACATAAACCGCGCGAACCCCTGGCCTCCCCGCCCCGAACCAATCCCACCTTGGGTCGGCCAAGCGCCTTGGCCCTCTTCGCCATGGCAGCAAACTCTGCCCGTTGCTCCTCCCCGCCCTCCAACAACCACGTGGCGATGATGGCCGCAATGCGGTCGGGCCGCGTCTCAAAGGCGCCCACTCGATTTTCAAGCACGTAAGGGATGTTGCCCTCCTCCTGGAGACGCCAGGAAATACACAAAGGGGGGATACGGAAAAAGGTATATTCAGATTATTCGAGGGGCGGGGGGTTGCGGGTTGCGGGAGGCTGGAAAGAGTCTGTTAGGGCCCGGTGTACCCGTCAAACTGTACCCGTCACACCACCGACCATATCCCCCATAACCTACCTGCTCACCACTCAGAGCCACCAGCGCCAATGCGTATGTGCTCAACCCAACCACGCAGCCGCCCTTACGCCTCCCAATATCCCCCTCTGTCTCTTCCCTTCATACCTCTCCTCGACTCCAAACAGGGCCCCAACTGGGCAACTCACGTCCCACTCTGATTGCCTACTCGGGCCCCAACTGTCAACTAACTTTGATAGGGAGGTAATCCTTCATCTTTCACCCGACATACACATCTCCGAAGGAGTCCCGGGTTAATGGACCCCCAGCTCCCCTTCGTCCAATCCCCTAAACTTCCCCCTCGCCCCCGTACATTTTCACCCACCCCAAACCCGTCGTCGCACCTGGCACGGCACATTGCCGTTCAATAGGATGGGCAGCCCCGAAATGAGCGCCTCCGCGATGGTGCCCGGACCCGCCTTGGTGATAATGGTGTCGCAGGCGCCCATCCAGTCGTGGATGTTATCCACGAAGCCGCACACATGGAGCAACACGTGACCGGGGCCCTGGGGTCTCGCTCGAAGACGCTCCTGGAGCCCTTTGTTGCGACCGCAAATAACCACCACCTGCGGGGCCACAGCCCGTAGCAGTAGTAATTGAGTAGAAGTAGCGGCAGTAGCAGTAGCAGCCACAGCATGAGCGGAGGGTGAGGAAGCGGGAGAAGAAGGGTGTTGTGCGTGTGCTTGGCAGTTGTGCCTGGCAGGCTTAGAAAATCGACTGGAAAGAGGAGGAGAAATGCGAAAGGCAAGGGGGCGTTACGTAAGTAGAGCTCTGTCGTCCTGTGTGTTACTCCGTGTTTAGAACTGTCACCTGCGGCGCGCATTGCGGGGAGGATTCCCCCCAACCCCCCTCCCTCCCTGCCTCCCTCCTTCTGACCTCGGTGTGTTGCCTCGACCCGTCCTCCCCTTCCCCCCTTTTGAGGTACATCCTTGTACATTCTTTCCTTGGCAGCAGCTTCACTCGTTCGTGGTTCGTCTCCCCATCAGATTATTATTGAAAGATACAATCATCCCTTGAGGTCGTAGCCCTGACGCCTGAGCCCCGCACCCAGGCACCCAGGCCTTCCGGAGCCACTCCAGGTTTGCCTCATCCCACCCTCACACATTGCCCCACCTGGCATTTGTCCCCCAGTCGCGCGTCCAGCTGCGCCACCGTCTCCTCCAGTGCGCCCATACCCTCACCACCCCCCACTAGCAGCACAGCAGGCAGGTTCGGGGACATGCCGAGAGAGCGGCGCAGGGCGTGGCGTGGCGGCAGCGGCCGACTGAAGGAAGGCCGGATGGGCAAACCTACACGCGGACATACATACATACAGACGTCGGTTTGGAGGGCAGAGAGGGAGGGCACAAACCTTGGTGCGGATGTTTGGCATGCGTACCATGATTGGGTATTTTGGGGGTGTTTGGACATGCAGTACGAAACAGCCGTGCACAATTCTGACGCAAGGTTTTGGATGGAAGAAGCGTGCGAAGCAAGAAACCAAAGGTCACCCGGCAACACCCAAAGCAGCAACAGTCCAGATGCTGGGTTGAGGTACGTGGGAAAGGGCGGGAAAGGCAAAACGACACGTGTACGACACCTGGGTACGCGCGCGTATACAGGGATGTATATACGGAAAACATACAAGAGTTAAAATTTCCGAGCCTCAGCCGTCCCTACCCCTGATGATCTCACCGTGCATTACAATCTGTTCCGCTGCCATGCCGTTATCGAGAGCCAACTGCCTGCAGTACTCCGTTGGTACGAAGCAGCGAGTGGCCTCCGGACAAAACCACGTGTTGTGACACGTGGTGAAGTCCGTCACGACGGTTGCAAAGTTAGTTGGCGGCATCGCGCCAGACTTGATGCGCTCCGCCATGATACGAATGGGGATGTGCTGCATCAGCGGGTGTACGGAGACCTGGTACGGCGCAGGTACGGATTGGAAATGGCTGGGGGTTTCCTGGTTGTGATAGGGCTGAGGGAAGGTAAGGGCTAGGACGTGACGTGTCGCAACGCCTCTTGGGCTTTGCCAGGAAGGCGTTTCAGACGAACGGGAAGTGAATGCTGCCGTGCCACCTTATAGAAACTTTGTCCCTGTGTTTCAAAGGTGGCGGGTGCACCGACATCGCCTATATCGCCTCCTTCAGATGAAGACTCAATCGGTGGATGGACAAAAGCGTGCCACTCTGACAGCAGGTTGGTTTTACTTCCAACGCACAGTAAAATTTCTAGTTGTGTCCATGACCCCTAACCCTCCCCGATCCGATACCCTCGTTCTTTTCCCCAGATTCCTCCTAACACGGCTGCTGATCTGTGTCCGGCCCTGCCCTGCCCTGCCAAACACAACCCACAGCCCACCGCCCCGACGCTGTCCTTGCCGAATTTTCGCAGTCTCGCTCCTATCTCCAGCCTTGCAACTAGAAAATGGAAGGCCCTCTCGCTCCGGGCTTTCATTCGCTCTCACTCCCTGGAGTCTTTCCCTCCATCCTTCCTCCCCTCAAACCCTAACATCTAAAATGAGCGAGGGGCGGATCTCACCACCAGGTCCGGGTGGTACTTGTCCAGCGCTTCGTGTACGCCGCGGCTCACGAAGTGGCCCACCGTGGACAAGTACGGCACGTGTATGAGCTTGGGATTGGTCACTTCGTACGTGAAGCGCCACAGAAAAGCGTTCTTGACCAGAAAGGAGTACGTGTCGGGCATGGAGTTGAAGGGCGCCGGCGTGTGCTCCTTCCATAAATCCACAATGAAAATCTAAGGGAAAGCGGGGACAGGAATGGATAGGAGTCTTTGGGTTTGGCGCGGGGCTTAAAGATGATGTTTAGGAGCGAGCCCAAGGCGCGCAAAAGGGGGGGGTCGGGGTCGGGGTCGCGGGGGAAGAACCCTAAAACTTACATAGCTCAGGACCGGGACTGGGCCAAACTGACAGGTGACAGGCGTGAAGGGGAAATCGCTCAGAGAGAGCAGCCAGACCGCTGAATCTCCCGCGCGAGTGTTCCCCGCTATGGAGGGCAGCGTGCCGTGAAGTGATTAACCGACCAAACAAGCAGCACGACGCCATGGGTGGCTGCAATGATATGGAGCGCCTACCTCGTACTTGTTCCCATATTGCTCCTGGAAAGCCGCCTGAATAGCCTCTGCACTGGCTTTGTGGCCCCCGCCAGTGTTGGACATACCAATTAGAATGCGCTTCCGCTCCTCATGTTTTACTTCTGCGAAGGTGCAAGGGTAGCATGTGCATCATGAACGCGCCCGTAAGGCACCAGCTTTGGTGCGACCCAAATTGTGTCAACGCCAGCTCAGCGCTTACCGCGATGCCTTCTACCAAAAAACCGCCACAGCGTCCGGGCTTTCGCCTCGCCAGTGCCTCCAAGCTACAAGATTCAGCACACGTTGTTTTCATTCTATGCTCAATAGCATGGCCGCCAGCAAGCAACTTACATACAGACCGCCGCCGAGTCCGAGCCCGATTCCCCCGCCAAAAGACGTCGGAAAGCTGAACCGAATAGGCAGGTTGCTTGAAGTGGTGCCCTGAGCGATACCAGATGTGCTACTTGAGTCATTGCTGCTGCGTCGTGAGGTTAGGTCCTCCGCAGATGGGTCGAGCTCAGCGCGCGGTCGAACTGTAAGTGTTGGCGCGCGGCGCTGCAGCAAAAATGCCGGCAGCACTGGAGGAAATATCGATACATCATTTTCTTGGGGCAATAAAGTCCGCATCGCGGAAAAATATCGTCAACGTCTGCACTTGTTGTAACGAAGTCAATTGATCCCAGAACTCCTACAGAACTCCATGCGACATTGTCAATACAATAATCTCTGGACAGACGCTGCCGCTGCTAGGAGATCCGTTCCAGCTGCAATGCCGTACCAAGCCTGTTTTTTTCCTACCTGCAAATCCTTCATGAACAAATGCCTATTTCTCCGAATAAGAATCTACATGATAAAATTCATTGCAATCATTATGCAATTCACTTAAGCGATCACCATTTTTCTTTGCCAACATACCATCCGCACCAGGTGCGAATCTGCCATAATAGCCTCTGCTGCACATATTGTGCTGTTTTCTTGGTATCTTGGATAAGGAACATGTTGACAAGAGCAGCAGCCATCTGGGACCGATCCTATCAGGATTGCAGGCGTTACGTTGCAAACCCGGGTCAATGGTCAACACCCTTCGTCCTGGCAGACCGGCCTTATCATATCCTTTCCCCCATCCACTTTTCGTTGAAATCTCATTGGGGTTTCCCAAATCCTCCGTTAATAGCATGCCGACAACAACGTCATCGACCCTTTGGGCGAGGAGAAACCGCCATCCTGCACGCTGCTGCACTCCATATCCAACCCTGCGCGTGCGAGGCGTCCATGATTAGGAGGGCGTGGGTGTCGAGATTAAGCCACCACTAAGACACCGGGCAGCCTCTCAGCAAGCCAACCGCCAATTACACAGTTAGGGAACCAGCTAGGCAGCCAGACAGGCGACAGTGAGCAATACACTATTGTGTACGGCAGCATAATGCGACCGAGCAACGCGGGCCGCCCCGAAAGATTCAGATACACCTTTGATTACAAATCGAAGAAGGATTTCAGGGGCTCGGACTTGCATGAGACCCAAAACGAAATGTCGTACTGACCCATTCCGTATCAAATCCTAATCGCCATGCACATCGCGTCCTTTTACGCGCTCATTTTACAGCTCACACACTGCTCAACACTACCGCACCACTCCCTTGGGCGAGATGTATCAAAGCCACCCGCCATCTATAGTCACAGAGCCCCAATCCTCTTTGACGCGCGCACCTCCACCCGTTAGACCGTCCGCATAGGGCAGGGGCTATGGGCAGGGGGCCCCCTTGACCTGTTCACCTCCACGCCGCCGTCATTTCGGAATGAACTCGATTCTTGTCTTCCTTAAAAACCTTCCCACACCGAGTATAGTCCTTTCAGGAAAAAACCCAGATTGGGCACAGAATGAAGGCTGACCGCAGATCCGCAGCGTTGTCCACTCCACGCACGACGCAAACCCCGTCGCGCCGCGCTTCCCACAGCAACCCAAATCGACCTCCCTCGATCTCTGAAAGCCAGCACCTTGGGTTGCATGCCTGCCATCCAATCCATTACAACGCGCTTCCAGGACCAATTTACATACATCATTCCGCGGGGTTTCATCAGTTTCCATTATCGCGCCAGCTCAACACGCCGCCCTTCACGCTCAGGCAATCACCTTACCCAGTACGTGTCCCGGCACTCGGGTGTGCGACGCTTCGCAGTCTTAGTGACGCAGCTGATGAGCACGATCCCGTTCATCTTGCCGCCAAGCATCCTCGACACCGCGAAGCTGGACGCCTTCGCATCCGGCAACCGACCCAGATGCTCCATGAACAGCCGGGCCAGTTGGGCCCCACACGTGGCTGCCAGGTCAGCCTCCTCCTCCCGTGTAAGCTCCTTCGGCGGCATGTTGACACGCCCCTCAAACATTTCAGTGCCAAAGCGCCCAAAGAATATATCCTTTTCATCTCGGAAGTGAAGACCCCAATGACCAATCGGCTTGAATAACCGCGCCAAGGTAGTGAGCCGGCGGTCAAAGCCCTCCAAACGCAGAATGAACTGCAAGTTGGCGTCTTGGGATAGTGGAATGTTGAGGGGAATGCCCTTGCGCGCATACATGGCCGTTATCCGTGCAGCAAGGGGGTCCTTGTGCAGGTTCTGATAGTCCTCGCGCCGGATGATGTTGACGTATTCCTGCAGGTGATCGTGTACGGCACGAAACCGTGTTGCATGCATGCCGTACACCCACAGGTGGCCCTCCGAGATGCCCACGCGGGTGATATGGGAGCCATAGCGCTTCAAGTCAACGAAGTAGGAGTTGTCGGTATCGACAATGCTGACTAGGCCCACTTCCAGGTCATCCACGGACATGTCCAGCATGTGTTTTAGCATCTGCGCGTGAGAGGAAGATGCGTTTGTTTTCGACGAGCGCGAACGCGGGTTGCGGAGGGGCTTGGCCAGTGCAAAAAGTGCAGGTGCATATGGGCAGGGAGGCGTGCTGAATTGCGGACGCATCAATAGACGCGTGCAGATGCGCATGAGTGTTTGGAACGGGCCATGAAGAGTGTTCTAATACGTCGTCGTGTCATACCTACGTCTATCACCGTTGGTACTGTTAAACGGCCAAGGCAGTCGGAACGCGCACCTGTATAGCCTGCGGATGGATGATATTGTCCTCCTCAACAATGATAAGGCTTTCATAGCCAAGTACTTTAAATGCAAGCTGTTTGATAAAGAAATGGTGAAGACCAGCGTTCAGGTTCTCCTGGTGACGAATGTACGCGAAGTTGGTCTTGTTTGGCACGCGTGGCTGTAGTGGGGCGAGGCCGTGACCGCCGTCTTGAGAAATAAGGAAATCAAAGTTTTCTAGGTTTTCGCTGCGTAGGACTGACTCCAGCGCTGGTTCTATCATAGACGTGCGGTTATAGCACATGTAAACCACGACCGTCAAACTTCGTTTTTTGAAGCCTGGTAATATAGATGCTGCTGTGTTGGGGTCCAACGCAAGATCGACGTAAGCGTCCCTGCTGCTGAGCGTTCCCGCTGCTGCATGGCAGCGACATATTGCGACAGCCATGACAAGCGCAAATCCTATGAGATCGATTGCAACGTGGGTAGCGCGCCTATCCCTATCCATAGTAAACAAGAAATAAAAGCGTTAACTACAAATTGCGCTAACACTGTAAGTTGCACCGAGCCTGTCAATTGTAACAGGACTTTATTACTGATGATGATTTGGGTGCAACGACTAAATTTTCGCCTAGCAGGACCACACAAAATGGGCAAAGATGTGGAGCTATGTGGTATTCAGTATTGGGGCCCTCCCTCTCCAAGCCCCTTGCCCCTAAAGGGCCCTACTTAACCACCTGCCCGTCATACCGAAACACCTCAGTGCATTTCCTGCGGCGCAACCAGTACATCGCCTAAATACAAAGTGAATCAAGCGATCCCTTTTCAGTTTATTTCCTAATAGCAACATACCACCTCAAATATGGCCATCTGCACCCTCTTGCAGTTTAGCCCTTCAACACCGAAACCTGGTCAGCCTGGCGTCGCTGAACCCCTCTTCATAATTACCTCACAAGGACGCACTTTTACAAGATCACTCCTCGCAAAAGTCGCACCATATTGTATGCCTCATCCAAGGAGCACTAAAACCCTTCATTGCGCTGCACGTGCATGGCGGCACGGCAATCCACAGGCGTAGAAAAAGAAATCTAATATTTATAAGAAATTTAAGTATCCAATGAACTGGGTCAGGCTTATAATCATGCTACCTTGCCGTCGCCGCTGCCGACGCGTTGCCAGCGGCACCGCTAGCGTCCCCGCCGTCGCGTTGCTGCCACCAGGACAGCACCCGCCGGCAGTTCCGCCATGCGACGTCGGTTACTGGCTCGTAATTGCCCTGACGCATCAGGTCCACAGCCGACTGGTAGAAGCCCTTGGCTCGCCGAATGAAGGCATCGCGAGCTCGATGCCACTTGCCTTTAAACCGGATTCGCTGCCTCGGTTCGGGGGTTGCACCGAGGGGGTTGTAACGGGGGGGAAACATTCAGATGCCAACGCATACACAACTCCGTGTTCTTTCCTTGGCGAAACAGAGCGGCGAGAAAGTTATCGAGGGGAAAGGTGAGATTTACGACACATCGAAGGAGCAACGCGTGGCGATTGGGGCACAGTGGATAGTAGAAGAGAAAGGTCATCAAAATTGCCAAGAATGCACAGCAGTGGTTAACCCTCGCATACATAACCGCCTGCTTGGATGCTGCCGCTTGATTAGCGGGCATCGATGCCTTCTGCTTCCGATGCACAACCCGCTGTGCTAGTACGATACACAGCCGTCCTGGCACGCCGTACACAAACGCTGGCAATGCTTGCTTCAAGGACATCAGGTCGACGAACGAGGGACGCATGAATGTATGTATGTCCCCAGTGGCTGCAGCGTGCAGTGTTAAGCACGCCAGCGGCCAGCATCAACACGGGTCCTGGAAGCAGACCTACTTACACACACACATACATACATACGCCATACCAGGAGACGTGGCGCAATGGATAGCGCATCAGACTTCGGATCTGAGGGTTGTGGGTTCGAGTCCCATCGTCTTCGATAGCTATTATCATCCAATACGATGACTTCGTTGAGACAGAATTCCTATATAGGGTTTGGCACCACTGGTAGGGCGCGACCATTGCCCCCGGGAGATCTCGGGATCGGTACCCGTTCGGGTCAAAGACCTTCCGATGGTGGAAGGCATTGCGCCCCTAGTTGATGGACGGTGGTGACCTGGGATAAAGTTAACCTGCGAGCCGACCAGAAATGGAGTTGGGCCGCTGTCGACCCGGCAGATTCCGTTGGATGCTGGTGGTGGGTGCGGAACCTGAGCGATCCACTGAGAAGTTGACTAGGGTGACTGAATGAGGGTGCCCCGAAATACCGGGGAAGGCAGGGTTTCGCAGGGTAGCTGCCACGGGCGAAGATACACCCCCCTGTTTCACACATCATACGCCACCCTTCTATACGGGTATGGACCGACGGCCCGTCCTGTAAAGCACTGGCCCATACCTTGTCAAGCGCCGCCGTCGTCACCTTCTCAGAGGGGAGAGGTGGTGAACTCTTGGAAGGCTTTTCCTTGGTGCAGACGGTGCATGAGGCAGTGGGCGCATGAGGGCGGTGCACCAGCCAGGAATCCGTAATCACCCAGAACGAGAATCTCAGGGCCGCCACGTGACGAACGTTAGTCACCTTGTTCCATGAGTAGCCCCTGCGCCCCCGTGCATGAGGCATGTGAGGGTGTCCAACACGGTTTTGCATTATGGGTCGTCCGTACTGGTCGAAGTACGCTTGCTTCAATGATCAATACCTTGACGCGCTTTGGGGGTCATGGATTGAGCCCTGGGGTTGGCGTTATCCAGACCTCATGCGCCTGGAGTGAGATGCCTGTGCATAGTGGCGCATAGTGGCGCACGTTGTTCGTGCTGAGCAACGGCATAGCGCCGCCGCCACGGGGGTCCCCTCGTAGCCCTTCCAAAACTGGCTTACCTGAAACGGGCGTCGTACGCAGGCAGTGCCATCCTGGCGTGAGGGGCACGCGACGAGGACCAGGCCAATGGCGGGCGGGTGGGATTTCAGGGGCCGAAAAGGGATGGTGGGTTGGGGCAAATTAAGGGAGCCTGAGGGCATACTGGAGAGGCGATGATGGGGAAGAAATACCTGGTGCTGGTGCTGGTGCTGGTGGTGCTGGTGCTTGCAAGATGTGGCACGGAATCCGCCAGGCGTACAGGAATCCGCCTGGAAGCTGAGCGGCCCTCACCTCCATGCGTCCTGCCTGCTAGGCGGTCCCGCAACCCTCCAGTTTTGTATCTGGTTGCCCTAATCCAGGTGCCTGTTCTGTTCCCTTGCTTGTGGGTTTTCCTACAAACGCTGTTTAACCGTGGCTGTGTGTGTGGCGTGTGTGTAGGTGTGTGTGTTGGTGTGTTGGTGTGTTGGTGTGTTGGTGTGTTGGTGTGTTGGTGTGTTGGTGTGTTGGTGTGTTGGTGTGTTGGTGTGTTGGTGTGTTGGTGTGTTGGTGTGTTGGTGTGTTGGTGTGTTGGTGTGTTGGTGTGTTGGTGTGTTGGTGTGTTGGTCTCTCCACTCAGCCCGTATCCACGCCATGGGTTTGCCGCCGTTTCCTTCCTTAACCCCCTGGCCCTATCTCCCTTGATGAGAAACCTCTGACCCTAGATTTGGTTAGATTTGGTTAGCACACTATACTCGCTTGGAGCGCTCACGGATGGCTCTAGCCGGAGTCATGACCCACCAGACGGTTCTTTCGTCCCAAGCTCCTAGCTATGGCCCACCTGGCGCCGATGAACCACGGCTCATAGCCAGGCCGGTAGCTGACCTGGTAGTCCAGCTTGCTCCGGAACCACTTATTGTAGTCGGTTGCGCTGTGGCCGGCTCGATACACATCGTATGCGAACGGGTAGATCTTCTCGGCCTTCTTCCACAAGGCAACCAGCCTGGTGCCTTTGGCGCTGTGGGGAACTGTGGCGGTCAGGGTGTGGGAGGGGAATGGGAATGCCCGTGCGGGGAGGGGAGGAGTAGGTGCGAGTGGTAGGGGCCGTGTGCGTGTGCGACATAGCGCGGAAGGGTGCCCCTTCATCCATCTATCGCCAGTTCATGACTATCAGGCAACGGAGCCTTACCTCGGCATGTAAAATCTTATTTGGCAGAGGTGTTCTCTGCGCTGAATAGGCCAATTAGATGCCGTATCTATAAGGGCTGCTGTGTGTGAGTGTGTGTGTTACGTGGTTGACGCCACATTCCCCGTGTTAGTCGGTCCAGCACTGATCTAAGAATTGTGTGAAAACAATGTCCAAAGTCGGTTCACGCTATCCACGGGTTTGTTTGAAGGATTGTATTTCCGCACGCATTCACGGTACCTCTATTTGTGCCCCCGGCCCCCCGGGGTTGCCGAACCTGCCACTGCCAAGTCCGCCACGGCTTCCCGCCCGGGTAAGCTCAGCCGTCGTTGCGTATCGAAGGCGGGGATGACCCACACAGTGCGCTCTGCCTCCGCCCGCCGTTGCAGCTCGGCAGCCCTGTATGCGGTCGTATGCACGGCGGGTGCAAGGACATACACATCACTCAGTTCTTATGTTTTAGGCTTAAAGCTTCGCACTGTGCTTAGCGGGGCTTTGCAGCGCTCTCCGTTCTACCTCCGTCCCTTCTATGTTGTTGTATATCACTGCGATTGTGCTTTTGGCTAGCCCGTTGCGTTTGTATGTAGCTCTCTCTTCGGCAGAATCCTTCAGGAGCCCCGGCTTTCTTTCGGTTCCCGTCGAACTGCTATGCTCCCTTTGGTCCCCGTACACCTGGTTCGGTTCGACAGAAGGTGCTGCGAAAGGCTCAAGCTGGGAGACAGGTCCACGTCCACCATTGCCACGAGAGGAGTATCCGCTGCCAGGATTGCTGCATTGCGCAGCGCGTTAATAGGCATTAGCGCGGCCATCACCTCGTCGGCGACCAGCTCATACAGCAGCATTAACCGAAGTACACAGGCCCCGATTGCGGTTGCGGCCGGGGTAGCACCAGCATCAGCATCAGCACCGGCGGCGGCTGCGGCGGCAGCCGCCGTGGCGTTGGCGTTGCTGACGGCGCGACTGCCGCCAGCGGCGCCAGTAAGATCTAAAAAGGAAGGAAAGGAGTATGATGGCGCTGGCGGCGGCTGTGCATCCAGATCCCGAAAGAGAGCCTCCAGGGTGGCGGTCGCGTTGCGCAGCGCCGCTGCATTCGACTCCGAAAGGCGAGGCTCACAAGCCCCGGCAGTAGCTGCCGCGGCCGCGGCGGCGGTACTGCCTCCGCCGGCGCTGTAGCTATTGGGCTCATGGGGCGTCGGGGTCCCACTGTCGCTGATGGGAGCTGTCCCGTCAGTCCGTGCGGTGCCGTCACAGGTCCCGCCATTGGCCTGTCTGCCTTCCCAAGGCTCCCGCCGGACCAGAGGCAGGTAGACGGCCGCCGCGAGGGGGCCACTGGGATAGCTGCGGCACTGGGCCGCGAGTGCCTGCAGTAGCAGCAACAGCAGCAGGCGCCGCGGCGGCAGCGGCGTGATGCGCGTCGACCTGTGAATAGTTTTGAGGCCATGGTTCGAGGGTTCGATGCTGGTTGTGTTGTTGTGGATGGCGGATCACGCGGTGTCGCCGGTGTACGGTTATTGCACGGGACTGTACGGCATACATCCTTCGGGAACGCACCATACTTGAGCTATGCAAAGCTGAAGCCCGGAGCACTTGACAGCGTTCATTGATCGCTTAGAGCATCGAGTTTGGTATGCATCGATCCCCGGGAACTAGATCCATCCAAGTTTTACGATCCAAGGCGCCCAGCTGCCAAGGAGCTGTTAATAAGAGCCATTATGTTGGCAGTATCAGTGTTATCTTCAGACCCACCTTCAGCCTGTGGAGATCGGTGATGGTGAAGATTGTAACAGGCAGGGCTGGCTGCCTGTTGCTCCACCACACTTGATGCAAGCGCATGCTGCAAGGAGAAATGCATAATCGCGCATTTTTAATTATTATTATCTATATGCACATCTTCAAAATAATGGTGATATGGAACGTTTAGTGTCTTTTAGCGGACTGTCTCGGACTGCTTCGTAAGGCTCGAGGTGCATGACTCGTGGCAGATGCCTCGAGCGCCCGACCCGCGATGCACACCTTTTACTGGGGGATCCATCCAGGAAGTCACTAAAGTTTGTGGGGTTTGCGCTGTATAGAGCATTGTAGCATAGCTTCAGCTCTTTCGCAGGCGTGTCCCAGTAGCCCCAGTCACGTCGTCTGCCACCTCCATCAAGCGTTGCCGCTCTGACGGAAGCGCTATATAAACCAAGGTACATCAATATAATCATGCATAACCCGCAGTATGCTGCTGTATTCAAGTGCATATTCCAATAGGTGACTAAGGACAGATAGAACGCTCAGCTCGGCAATTTCCAGGGGTTGTTGGAAAGCGCCTGGGAATCCGGATGTCCAAATGTACAATAAGGATAGTAATAATTCATGAAGGATATTTGCAACTTGCGAGCATTGCAGGGTGCTTCAGTATAAAACCTGGACTTAACTGATGTGTACGGAATCGCCTGCTTACGGCTAGTTTTAGGGTTGAACTTGAAGCCATGACCCCTGCGTCTCCCATTAGCTGCTGAGTTCTGTATGCCAGGCCAGGAAGTGTCGGGATCCTGCTTATCTTTTCCTACCTTTTTGATCAGGGAAGATCTTCCCTGCCTGTTTTTATTCAAGGCTGGTTGTAGCTTGGTGATTTTGTTGAACTTTTAGTTCCTCCAACAGGCAATGGCATGCACTCCTGCAGCCGATCCAGACCCCCTCAAACCCATTTGCCAACCCAGGCTCATCACCTCAGCGAACACCCATGTCGATGCCCAAGCGATGCCGCGTGGATATACCGTGCGCGAGGGGCTTCGTCAGACTAGTAGTAGTGGTTGCTGCTTGCGTCTGTGCTCCGCATTCTCGATTTTCGATCTCTGCATGGTGGTTCAGGCTTAGTCCCTTTTGAGGGCGCTTGCTTGTTTTCCGCTTCATTTGGCCGCTCTATTCTTCCGGTTACTTCCGTTACTTCCGGTTACTTCTGTTACTTCCGTTACTTCTGTTACTTCCGTTACTTCTGTTACTTCTGTAACCGTCCGAATCATCGACTTTTCTCTTCACAAAGACCAAACAAACTGCTGCATACCGAGGTAACGCACAGAAAAGCTCCCTTCGTAACCTCCATACCCTGTTCCGTAGGCTTAGACAGTCTTAGACGCGTACCCGAGGCTCCGCACGGCCTGCACATTTTCAGGGCTCGCACACGACGCCACGCAGTTGCAACCTAGCTATCAACAAGCTCTCAACGCCAACGTCGCCACCACTGGCCGCGCGAAGCTCATCAACACGGTAGGACAAAGTCACTCAATCGGTAGCCTTGGAAAGGCCGTACGCCCGTACCTTGCCGCACTGGCACTCACCCGTTCTCATTCAATGATCCCCGACCGCTACGATTGGAATTACTGGGTCTTAACAGCGGGTTCTTTTATCCGACGGAACCATTTTGAGGCTGCACGCTATTCAGTGTCTTGTGGAGCTTGTAAGAGCTTGTAATGGACGGTCCAGATCGCATAACCTAAGCGACAGCAGCATGGAAGCCGGGGAGCCTAAAGCGCACAGGATTATTAGCCACAAACCATGGCTACTTCGAGGCGCCGTGCCGTGTACGACTTGTGCTGAGAGTATTAACACGGTGGAAAAACAACACCGCGCGTACTCAGGCGCGATAAGCCGAATGGACCACATAGCGGTTTCTGCTCGTCGACGAGTTCATCCCAGGAATGGCACTTGGCGCCATCGACCACCACCGCCATCGACCACCCCCGCCATCCACTACCTCCACCATCGACTACCTCCACCATCGACTACCTCCACCACTGATCCTGGCGGCGACGTTTACGTTCCAGATACCGTGATGTCTGCGGTCGCTGCCGCCCCGGCACCAGGGCCAGCGTCAGCAGCAGCATTAACACCAGCCAACGCCAACGCCTCATTCAGTACCGCCGCCGCTAGCTTACCGAGCTCCTGTCGCAACTGGCATAACGCTCGGCGGCGGTTGAAGATGACGTCATCTTCCATGCTGAGGATGCGCATCATCACATCCACCTCACGCTCCCCGGGCCGTTGCAGGAACACGTGCTCCTCCCTGGTGGAGGTCCACAAGAGGGGAAAGGGGGAGGAAAAAAGGAGGAGGAAAGAAAAGGAAGAAGATAATGGAGAAGGCGGAGCCGCAGAGAATTCCGTGAAGGGACCACACAACTGACGAGGGGCTGTGAAGTAGTAGCCTTAGGCAGGCAAGCAGACAAGCAGATGATCGACCCTCCGAAACCTACTTGAAAAATGAGTAGACGTCCAGCATCTTTTGTGTGACGATCATGGGGACACATGTAGTGAGCGACGCCAGAACTGTTGAGCTGATGCGCGTCTTGAAGTACTGCAGAGTACGAAGCCGTACAGTATTAAGGACACCGTTGGTAGTTGATCTTTTCCTGAAGCGCGTTGCTCTGGAGTTGCCCTAGTAAAGGACCTTCCCTGCAAACAACCCGCACCCATATCGCGGGGCCCCCCCACCACACCGTGGACTCTCCCTCCGCCGTGAAAAGGTGCGGAACGAGAGTAGGAGACATAAGTCGTACCTGGTTGCTGCCAAAGGCGGGTACCAGGGCATAGCTGCTGTAGATCTTCTGCCAAAAGTCCTGAAGAGGAGGAGAGGGAGGAGGAGGAGGAGGAGGAGGAGGGGTTGAAATAGGTTTGGTGCGGGTGAGATGGCGTACATGCAGCCGACATTTTCAGCAGGAACGGGGTTGACTTGGAATGTTTTAGGGGGTCCGGACTCCAGGAGGGGACGAGGCTAATGCGGGATTCGAATTATAGGTCCAGGATCACACGAATGGGGCCAGCACTTCCGTCCTTCCGCGGCAGCCACGCATGCCAACAACCGGCGGCTTCGTAGAGTCTGAGCCTTCCCTTTGGTTCCACTTTTGGCTATTTACATGACTTGCGTTGTATCATTTGGGTGGGAGTCTAGTTCGTCATGTTCGTCCCAAGTGCAGTGCACGGCCAGCTGGCCACGCACACACGCACAGCCGACTACAACCGAAAGCACAGTCCCGGAGGTGTAGCAGTATCCGTATGCTTATTGTTATAATTTATGCATATATAGAAATACATAGGTTATTTGACGTGAAGCTTGCGTGCCGCAAGAAAACTTTCTTCATTTTTAAACGTCCGTGCGGCTTTGACAGTGACTTTCATTATGCAACTAGACCGCGAAGTAGTCATCATTGCAGCCTAATTTGTTATAACGACACCTCTAGGTCCATATAAATATTTAGGATTCCCGGCAAGCGTGTACCAGCACGTTGCGCGCCATAAGAACTCCTTTGCACAAGATCTTCCGGCCTGCAGGCAGATGCCTTCAAACAGAGGGTATAAAAAAATTCATAGGAGCATGAATTTTGTCCTGACTCCGTATCATTTGCCAACATAAGCCGAGATGCAGGCAAGAAACGCTACCCCGCCGCCGCCTGCACCAGCCAAGGGAAGTATACGCGAAGGCAGCCGCTAGAGCTCACCGGGTAAGACAGCCCGCTGTAGAACTCCACGCGGTGATCTAGAGCCAGCGGAATGTCGAGGTCACGACGCTTGCCCTTGCCCAGTACCGTCACGTTGATTGTGCCCACGCCTGCATGTGTGGGTCGATGATGGTCCTGACCCTGCTGCAACAGCTGCTCCCAAAGACTGCTGAAATTACGGATAAGGCCCGAGCCCCGCGCCGTTGTCCACTTGCGCAGGGTGCCCTGGAGGGTGAGGAGCGGGCGCAAGGCCAAGAAGAGAGAAGAGAGGATCAGACGCCAAGGGGGAACCAGGACTATGTCCGAAATGCGCACACGTAATTTTTCGGGGCAAGTCCTGTCCCACCTCACCTGTACCACAAAGCCCCGGAGACAAGTATGGGAGGTGCATTCCACGGGAGGTTTATACGCCGCCACCATAGTAGCCCAATTCACTAGCTTGCTGCGAAGCCGGCTTCTGTTTGGGGCCGTAGCATAGAGCGGAATGGAGCGGGGGCGTTCGGGGCAGACATGATAAAGGGAGTCCTCACTTGGTAAGCCGCTTGAAAGATCGATTTGAATGTGCTAAGCATTCTGCATCTATGAGAGGGGGTGACCTTTACCATCTGGACTTGTCCAGAAGCGATTTATTTCCAAAAAGACATAATTTCTTACAGCACAGGAAAAACGCCCACCAGGAGGAATCGAACCTCTGGGCCTCCCGGCCCCTACGGATTTGAAGTCCGCACCCAACGCCAGTCAAGGTCAGGTAGGCGACATTTTTAAAACCTAACGATTTATATATTTCAGTGCAAAGTTTTAATGTATACAGGGAATACAAAATCTTCCACTCAACATTTCCTGACAAGCGTAAAGCGTAATTGATCCTGCGGACGCTAACAAGATACAAAGAAGTTACAGTACAGGAGGACATACGGATTGGAGGCCGGTTCCCAGCTACAACACCGTCACTACTAGAGGACACAAGTAAAACACCAGCTAGCTCCTCGCTCACAAGGTCACGCAGTCCACTAGTTGTCCAATCAAGCCACCTCGCTGGCCCTAACACCGCGAACTGCCAGTATTCAAATATACTGATGGTTGCAGGCCACGTAGACTTTAGGTCTTGTGGAGAAAAATAAGACTAGAATACATTTGTTGTATGGGCCCTGTGCGGCGGCGTGAGACGTCCATGGTTGTGTGTCACACGACATGCCAGCATCATCCACCACACCATCCATACAGCCATACATAGCCAGCCCCCTCCACTCCCACAATCCATTCCAACCGCACAAAGCAAGAGACACGTAACCTAAACCTGCCGCCGGCTACCAGTCCGTACACCCGGTACATGCATGCCCCTCCATGCACCCCGCCTGTTCCGCTGGTTAGCTTACCGTACGGCAGTCGCCACGTGTGGGGCCAGCGCCATCAGCTGAAGCGGCGCGGGTGGCCGCACCAGGAAGCGGCTGCCCTTCCCGATAAGATCCGCACGATGGACCAGAAGCACCAACAGGCGAGGTCGGAGGACGCGGGCGACGGCATGACAGGTCTGTGCGGCAGTATACCGGTGAATAGCGGTATTACTTGTTAGGCAGCGCCGAACGGTAGGTTGTTTGTAGACTGTCGGAATGCGATCAGGCAGGGTATGGAGGGTGCCGGGTTCAAGATATAAAAAGCGGTGTCCCTTTGGCAACATCCCACGTGCTTCACACCTCCCATCGCATGCTTTGGTCGGCATCTACGTGCTCACGGTGTCTTTGTCGAGCTCCGGGGAGATACAGACCAATAAGTCGACCGGGCCCCAGTCAAGGTGCGGCCGCATCTGCTCGGCCGCCGCCAGTGCGCCCGCAGCTGTACAGAGCTCGAAGCGGTGCCTTCCATGAAGCACGTGGCAAATGATGTGAAGGGCGGGAGCCGGGAGGCAGCGGAGGGGACGGAGGTCCATTCGTGTGTGGAGGGAGGGGGGAGGGAGGGGGGAAAGCCAGGGAGCAGGGGGCCAGGGCTGTGGGGGAACGTTGGCGGCTGACCAGGGCTTCTGAAGCCATCCTGACGCTGAGGTATATACATGAGGGGTTGATGCCGTGCACATGCACACGCGGTTTACGGCCGAAAACCCTGGTGACACGGACTGATCGTTACCGGGGTTATCTGTTGGTATTGCAAAATACCACATCTGTTCCGGAAGTCCATGTTATCGGAGGCATGGGCGGCGGCGGATCGCCTGTCCTAGCTTCGGCCGGGGTACCCACGTCCTTGGCCGTCCCTGCCTCAACTGGTCTAGGGTTTGAAGCGTGTTTGTCTGAAGATGCGGACCCAGATTGCCAAATCAGGACCGGGACAGTCCATCCGAGAAGCTGTCCACCTGAGTACACTAACGGAGGGGCCAGCCGAGGAAATCGGAACTGTCAGCTCCAGAATTCCGTTCAATAGTTATGAGACGATTACTATGCCTTATGCTCAGTATTTCAAGGTTTGGAGGTCTCATCAGGATGAGTTTTTAGGCAAGAGGAACTAAGATATATCAAACATCGCAGACGTTGCAGTCGGAACATTATCAGAAGATAGTATAACATAAAACATGCATTATATCTGAAGTTGCCTTCTTAGCTAAAAAGCCGCCCGCCACTTACCAGCTGGGGTGTTCTGGAGCAATCCCCAGCCATTTTAACAGCCCGGAAGGCGGCGGCCGCTTCAGCCCGCGCATCCCGTTCTTCTTGCTGCTGTTGCCTGAGCCGTTGCTGCTGCTGTTGCCGCTGCAATCATTCCTCGACGATGCCATCCAGACAGCTTGGGGCTCCGTCCGCAGATAAGTTCTTACTGTGTCCACTGCGCCGGCGAAAACCTGGAGATGTGGTAACGGGAATCCGAACACACAGCAGAAGGCAGGAGAGAAAAAATCGTTTTGGGAGCGGCTAATGCGCAAGTATCGGATGTAAGTATAAGCTGTCCGGTCGCCCAGCCTGGCCCAGCGTTGCCGAGGATGGTCGGGTGTAGCAGCGAAACCGCCCCACCTCAAAATGTGCGGGGACATCATTAAAAATTGTGACTTTTATGTTTGAGGAAGGGGCTGAAGAGGCGAAGATTGCGCTGACGGCAAGGAAGGCAACAGCTGACACGACACGCCAGAGCTTTCGCTGCCACAGCAATACATAGTTAAAATTATTGTTCAACATAACAGCATTTATTATTTGGATGCTTTCTATGGATGTGCTTTCCTAGTCACGATACATAATCGGCGATGATGAACGTCATGGGCGCCCAACGTGTTTGGAAACAAAATGCATGTAAAAATGTTCTTGGATGTAAAAAGTAACAGATTATTTTAACTGCGAATACTGAAATGGCTGCCTTGGAGTGCGTCGATCAGCTCGAGGACCTCGCCGATGAAACCGACCTTGTCGAAGCCGATGAAACCGATCTTGTTCCATTCCAATAATAGTTTACACTTTCTGTAAACAAAATTCGTAAGTTTATATTATCTGGTCAGCTCTAGATTTTGCGAGCTCCGATCGCGTCGCTTATGGCGTTCCAGTAGTGGCATCGACTCTACCATCAAGCAGCAACAATTTTCCTTCTCTCAAAGTCTGTTACATACCTCAAGCGTTGTTGTCACCGCATCAAGCCCTAGAAATCAAAACCTTCACGGTGTATCCACCAGCGCAATGTCCGTCTGTGAGTTGCTTACCGCTTCCCTTGGGGGCGGTCCAGAAGCATCCTAAGGCGTCTGGATAAAAAGCGAAGAGGAAGGTGTTGCTTTATTTAATGGTTGAATGAAAGGTCCTTTGTGTAAAAAGGAAGCCAGCGGCGGCAGCCCGCTGATGTCGTGCAGGTGCAAAACGGACTTCCAGACCGCACGATTCACGCAGTACGCTTGAGCTGAGGGGCCAGCTGCCAATGACGAGCAACACCGCAGCTAGCGCCCAAAAGGACGGTCACTATTTCCTGAACTGCCGGACGCAAGCACCATAACGCAACTGGAACGAGGCCGGCTGGCGCGTTTTCTCACCACGCCTCCTCTATCTTCCTTGTTGCAAATGCTCGACGCGTGTGTGCGTATGTGTGTGTGTGTGTTATTGAGGTTCGCTGCTCTTGGACGAAGCTTTCGGACTGTCCACGTCATACCCTGGGGTTTACGAAGGCCGGGCAACTTGGAGCCCTGAAGGCCGTATGTGCAACGGTCCCTGTGCCACGTAACCGCTTCCGACACCAGACGCAACACACGAGCCCCACTTTCGCTCTTTCTCCCCCTAATCCCCGAGATCCCCATCCCCCAATCCCCGACCTCCACGCCACCAGGAGTCACGACCGTGTCGTCGTCTGGCCTCTTCCTTCACTCCCAAATCGGAACAGGCCCTCTGCTCGTGTGAAGGTGAAGGTGAATGTCCAACAGAGCTCACTCGCAACGCGTTTCCCAGTCCATCTTTCCTGATCTGCGTCTTGCTGTCTCTGCCCCATGCATGGGGATTCCAGGCGGGCAGAGACAAGTGCGACCATGCAACCCCCGTCCCGAGGTGCCCCGAGCTGCGGGCTCCCCCCGTACTTCTCCTTCGGCAAACACCGCCATCGCATGGATTTACAACCAGTAGGAACACCCAAGCCGTCCCTATGGCTGCGCTGCACAAGATACAATCCGCAATCCACGACGTCATGTTCCCCCATGTTCTCCCACCACCCGCCATACTGCGGGCTTCCCGACCAGTCCCAACCTTCCAAGCAAGCCTTCCACTTGCTCCGCCCACCTACCCACCTCTCCCGCATGCCAGCGCCAGAATCTGGGAGCCAAAAGACTCAGCCCTCCTCCTCCTCCTCCTTCCCAAACACACGACAACCTCGCCGCACACAACCACCTTCGCCATGCACCCTTCGCACGAGATCATTTTAAAATGCCCACACAGCATCCTGCTCCGGCCCCCCCCCATAACTCTCCCAACCACCCACAACCATCACCACTATCTTCGATGCCCTCTCCCACTGCTGCTGCCACCGCTATTGCTGTTACTGCTAACGCTATTGTTGCTACTGCTAGAGCTGTTGGTGCTGTCACTGCTAGCGCTATTGGTGCTGTTACTGCTGCTACTGCTATTACCAGGCGAACCCCGGTGCCGCCTTCCACCCAGCACAGGTTCGGACTTGGGCAGCCCGGTGACGCGCTCCTGCTGCTGCTGCTGCTGCTGCTGCTGGTGGTAGTTGAGCGGGTGTTGGTGCTGCTGCTGCTGTAGGCGGGCTCGCACCTTGGCTGCGGAGGCCGCCGGAATGTGAGCCTTAATGCCTGACGCCAGGGAGGGTGGTGCTTGCGGCATACGGGACTTGGATGCCTGCAAAACACACAACATGCACACGCACACGCGCTCGATCGCTCTCAGTTTAACTTTCACACACACGACGCCTTCCATGACATGGAAAAGCGAAAATTTTGCATCGCATGGACACCCATGCACACACACACACCGAGAGGTGCCGCAGCGCGTGCTGAGGTTGGTTGTGAGAGGGCCTTCATAGCCACCGCGCGCTCTTTCATCATCCAAATCACACGAGCGAGGCGGACATGAGACACCGGATGGGTCGCGCGCCCTCGGTCGGGCAGTACTAGGGGACTGTGGGACCGCTCACGTCCCTCTCCCCCCACAAGGAGGAGAGTGAGCACTTCGGCGGTCGTTCCGTTGGGGTATATATATATACGGTTAGGTGCCCCTGGCCAGCGTCCGGCCCGGATCAATGTATAACAGAAACACATACATACACACCAAGCGCAGACAGAGACACACAGAAACGCACACTCACACACACACAAGGAGCTTCGTAAGCACGCAGGCACAGAGGGAGAGGCAAACAGCTGCAGTAGCAGCAGCAGCAGCAGCAGCAGCAGCAGCGCGTACATCAGCACGCAGGCGAAACGTAAAAAATCACCAGGCAAGTTTTTCGCCAGGTAACAACCTTTACAAAGAGAGTTACAAGGGGGCGCTCCACAGAGAGGTGCGAAAGACGACACAAGCGGTACCGACCTGGGGTGCGGGTCGCTCTTGCCCGGGGGGGAGCCGATTCTTGGAATCCCCGAAGAAAAATCTGCGGGTTGGTTGGTTAGGTGGTTGGTTAGGTGGTTAAATAGGCGGTTGGTTGGGGTGGGTTGGCGGATGGGTGTGTTTCCCAGCGGAGGAGTGTAAAGCAAGGGGGAATACATACTGACAAACAGACAAACAGACAGCAAATGAAACAGGGGATAAGGAAACAGAATATATTCCCCTCTCCTCCCCGTACCCCACTACCCCCCCCCCCTACCAGCAGCCCCAGGGGCTCCCACCTCGCATTCACGAAGTCGTCGACCATGGGGTTGAAGGCGCAAATGGTGGCGGTGTTGAACATCTCCCGATACCGCTTGATGACCGCACCCTGGCGGAAGTGCTCCGCGTTCACATCACCCACAGCACAACCGCCGTCAACACCAACACCCTGGGAGCCGCTGGCGGCGTGTCCTGGAGGCGGCGGCGCCGGCGGCGGCGGCGGCAGCGTTCCCATCGTCA